TAAATCTGGATCTAAAGAAGTGAGAGTGGCATAGTGCCCTAGCACAATCCCCAGCAGAGCCAACGCCTTCCATACGCACCCACATTTATCCAATGAAAATAGGGACGTCCTATTCCATAATGATACTAATAATTTTATTATTTATGCCCCACCCATCTGACTGGGTTGCCCCAGCCACTCATGGCTTCCAACATATATTAAAACACAATAAAACATCAAACATTTAAAACCTTCCCTATACAGGGCTGCCTTCAGATGTCTTCTAAAATTTGTATAGTTATTTATCTTCTTGGCTTGGGGGGGTTACACAACTCCATACCCTCCAACATGATGAAAATAGGGACGTCTTAAGGAAAAGTGGGACATTTCAGTATCAAATCAAGAAACCAGGATGGCTTCTGTAAATCTGGGACTGTGCCTGAAAAATAAGGACACCTGGAGGGTCTTTTGCTTGTGATGGAATTCTCAAAGTGGACCAGTTTTTCACATTACATGTTTTTTTTTCTCTGCAGCTTTTATTTTTTGGGAAGAGAGCCAAGTGCAGGCCCCGGATCAGCAGGCATGTCTTACCTATAGAGGCTAGTGGTGCAGGGCGCCAAGGTGCCAAGTTCTGGAGGGCGCCAGGGAAGAGGTTTAGGCTGGATGCAGCGCCTCCTGGCATCAGCTCACCGCCCTCACCACGCCGTGCCGAAGCAGTGCCACGCCTGGAACCTCCGCCTACCATGGCCACCGTGGCACGAAGCATCCAGCTGAGCCTGGAGGCCCTGCGTCCAGCCTCCGCCTCTTCCCCGCCGGAAGAGCCGCCCTCCAGCCACTGCATGCCTCCTCCAGCCCCGCCAGCAGTGCCCTCTTCCCTAAAAAACTCTGGGAAATGGGGATGGGGGGGCGCCGGAAGGAGCTTTGCACCACAGTGCCGGATATGCTTAAGATGGCCCTGCGGATCAGTGTTGCTTATACCCAAATATGTGACCTTTCTCTAGGGATTCTGAGTGCATGGCATCAGAAGTCTTTGGGCCCCCAAAGAAGTGTGGTAGCCAGAACAGCTCAGTGGTAGCAGTGGGATTAGTGCAGCTATTGCAGTGCTTGGGAGATGTGAGGTGGACGTGTCCATAGAAATGCAGCCCCTCCCTGCCCCTTGTGGCTGCGAGCTGGAGTGGTGAGAGACCCTCTGTGTGCTAGAAGCAAGAAAGAGTTTTCTGTCCTCTGGTCAGATGTGCCACCATGGAAGAATACTCCCCAGTTCTTTCTACATGCACTGCCTGACCCTTGGCCTGCAGACAGAGCAGAGACCCTCAGCTCCAGCAGCTTTTCCAGTCTGATGACGCCGATCCCCTCTTTGTCTGCTGGGACAGAGGCTGAATAGAGCATTTGCCAAATATGATATACATGAAAATATGCAGGAATGCAAGCGCTTAACCTCCTCTATGAAGCACATCTTGGCACTTTCTTTCCTGGGCACCAAGTCAGGGTCAAAAACACAAGGGGAAGGGGGGGGGGACCCCATTTGTCACCAGCCACAGCATTCCCTGACTGAATCAGCACACAGAAAAGCCAAGATGAGGTTACAATCAGATCATGAAAGAGTGACCATCAAGACATAGCAAAAGACAGCAGGCAGCAAGGGGAAGGGTGGCACACGACAGGCAATGTCATCACTTTGAGGAAGGGCAGATAGCAGAAGAATGGTTGCTGTTGCCATTGCAGAAAACTAAGGGGCAGCAGAAATTTCCTGCAGCTCCCCTCCAAACCACAAAGCAAACTTCATGAGATAGCATTGCCTCTTGTTTCTGAGAGAATATTATCCCGGGCAGCAGAAAGCAGCGTGCAGATGCTCACCCAGGCCCTGTGGTAAATGGTGTGTGTGTGACTGACATTATATGAAAGTCCCTTCTTCCTAATCTACATTGGCTCTTGATATTAATGCTGAGAGAAAGACAATTTGGCATTTCAGAAGCAGTTTCTCTAAACTGTCTTAATATGATGGTGGGCTAAGCCCTTTTTCGTCTTTCGAAACAGAGCCTTTCCCTTTCTGCTGTACCACTGCCTGGACTTTCTGGATCTTGCAGCTTAAAATGTCACACTTACTTGGGAGGTGGCCTCACTGAACTTGGTGGCTCTTTCAAGTAATTCTGCATAGGATTGGACTGGACTGCTGCAGTGCAATGCTGATTTTCTTCAGAGGACTGACGCATAGGATGTAGCTGTGCTAGAATGTGCATCTGGTAGCTGCAAAAGGGCTGTAGGACTTAGTTAGGAATGTGACCTTAACAGCACATTGCTGTTGAGGTAGTTTCCCTCACTCTGAGGAGCAAACAATCAACATATTACTTCCTGTCCTGCTGAAATAAAGACCATGCTTGACCCTGTAACCTGAAAGTGATGCCAGGAGGCATTCAGATCATTGTTTTGTTTCTTCCTCTCTTTCTGCAGCTAATTTCCTATACAACTGAGGCAGGAAAAAGGAGCACCTTCAGCAACTGAGGCAAAATTCACTCTGACTCATTTTACTGCATTTGTTAATCTTCACAGGATCGGTGTTTCGTGTTTTGAACATGGGCATGAGCCACAAACCCAGAGTAATGGTTCCTAGTCAGAAAGTGCTGACACGCAGTGGCGTAGCGTGGGGGTGCAGGGGGAGCCGGCCGCACCGGGCGCAACATCTGGGGGTTAGAGTTAGGGGGCGCAAATCCACGGGTTAGGGGGCGCAAATTACTTGCCTTGCCCCGGGTGCTGACAACCCATGCTACGCCACTGCTGACAAGTCATCTTGCCAAATGCAGTATTTTGCGGCACTAACAAATTTTGAATGACAAGGGAGTAAATTTCTCTCTTTCAAAGTAAGGAATTGAAACTGCACTAGAAAGATGACCAGTTAGTGCAGACCTCTAAGTAGCAAGTCACCTCTAGCCGAAACAAAGTATATTCTGCTTGGCAGCAGTTCAGGATGAATAAACAATTCCCTATTACAGTCCCCATGAAACAGCCCTCCACTAATGGCAGTTACAGGCACAATCGGAAGGCACTCAACTAGGCTTGCTCTGCTCAAGACAGATGACAATCATCCTGCTACCTCCAGTCCTTAAACTGGGGACAGCAAATTAGTTACCCTTTGTGTGCAGCTAAGTTATTTTCCTCACAAGTCAGAGGGAATCCAGAACTTGCCTTACTAACATTTCTCCCCCCGCCCCGCCCCAATTATAACATAAGTATGGATGCAGTAGAAATGTAAGAAAGGAGTTGCGTCTGCCCAAGAGAATCAAGGCTGGGGCTAGAGCAGGGGTAGGCAACCTAAGGCCCAGGGGCTGGATGTGGCCCAATCGCCTTCTCAGTCTGGCCCGCGGACGGCCTGGGAATCAGCATGTTTTTACATGGGTAGAATGTGTGCTTTTATTTAAAATGCATCTCTGGGTTATTTGTGGGGCATAGGAATTTGTTCATTCCCCCCCAAAAAAAATATAGTCTGGCCCCCCACATGGTCTGAGGGACAGTGGACTGGCCCCCTGCTAAAAAACGTTGCTGACCCCTGGGCTAGTGAGAGGGAGGGGAGGCTGGGTTTTATTTCCCTTCCTTTTCCTTCCATTTACTCCAAGGAGGATGTTTGAGAAGCAGACTGTGTGCAGGTTGTTGAAACTTCCGCAGCTGGGATTTTTCCAGTTAGCATCTCAAACATAGTGGAAAGGGCATTGGCTAGCATCTTGGCTTTATGACATCTGGAAGAGAGATCCCTCAGTTGCAGAGCACCCGCTATCGCTGTGCAAAGTTTCTGACTTAACAGTGACTCAGAGGAATAAGTGCCAACAAATGATTCATGCACCTCATTTCCTACAATACATACGATAGTTTCCCCTGCAACGCTCCCTTCAAAGTATTAACAGTACAGCACTCTTGAAATTTTGAAGTCTGCTGAGGTCTTCATGGCACAGCCTTTGATATGGGAACTAAAATTACCGGTAAAACAAAAATAACAATCAAATTGTTCCCTTAAAAAAATAGTCATCTTGGCCCAAGGGAGAAACATTCTAGTTTTATAATGATTACCACAGAACCCAGGGGCTGCTAACATGTACCTCAATATTATGCTACAGATGGAATCTTGCTTGTTTCTAGTGAATCACTTTAATTAGAATTGCAGCTGTTATCTTTTTGGAAATGTGTAAGTAGTCCATCATTATTCATCACAGTCCAAGCAGCTTCCCAACACCTCAACAGTGTATGCTTTAAAAAGAAGAAGAAACTTGACTTACTTTTAACAACAACAAACTAATCAAAGTTGGCCCACATAAGCCACCCACCCATGGGCACAGCCAGGATTTTTTTGGGGGCGGGGGAGAGGCTTCAAGCTGGGGAGGAAAGAACCTCAGCTAGTTAAGTATTTTTATTGATTTACTTGATTTAGAGGGTCAGCTGCCCCCCCCCCCGCCTGCGTCCATGCACGCACCCATCCACCCTTCTCAACGAAACTGCAAGATGTGAAAGGAAATTTGTGCTTTCTTCAAGGCCGGTGCCCCTCCCCCTGGATCTTCCTAGCTAAGCAAAGGCAGCCAAGCACCACTGTATTGTGATCCTTTCAGCAGCAAAAGAAAGGCAGATTACTTCACAGGATCCATTTGCAGGGAACCAACGGAGGTGGGGGATCCCCAGAACAGCCCTGCTCACTTAGACGGAAAGCAAGCGCAGGCGGTCCGCGTGCAGCAGATCCCTCGCGCGCTTATAGGCTTAAGTCTATCACTTACTCAGAAAGCGGCCAGCAGGATAGTATTTTACCCACCTAGTGACCCAGTTTTGGATAGTCGTGTCATGTTTTGCGATTTACGTGTATACAATTTAGTAGCTCTATAATCCCCAGCCCCGCACAGAGTCCGCTTTCGCCTCCCTTTTACCACGCATGCGCGCGCTGATCCACGAGAGCGGCAGCAGCAGCGAAGCAACGCCTCGCCCCCAGTACGCATGCGCAACCCTGTCTTGGGGGAATAGGGGGAAAAACCCGAAGAGCAGGCAAGATGGCGGCGCCCGTGGATCTGGAACTGAAGAAGGTACCTGATGGCGGGCGGGGGCGAAGCCGGGCAAGGCCGCTTCGTTGGTGGCCAGCCCTTGTTGGGCTAGGCGGCTGTCGGGATTTTCCTCATCGCTCCCGCCCTTCTCAGAGCTCCGGGCGGGAGGGTCTCTGAGGGATGCTCCTCGCGGACTACAACTCCCGTCATCCTCGGCCTCTGACTGTGCTGGCTGGGGAGGGTGGGAGTTGCAGTCAGGGCCGCCCCCCCCCCCACGAGGAGTCTCTGTCCCCGTCTTCATTCCCTCCCGAGGGGAGAGAGGCTGAGGCGGAGTATTGGGAGAGCCCTTCCCGCCCCGGGCGCCCTTTCCTCTCAGCTGGGTGGAGGCGGGAAGACACTCTTCAGACCCGCCTTCATCCCGAGGGAGGGTGTCGACGAACCATGCAACCATCGTGGCTTATATAGTTTTCTCCCCCTCCCCTGGATACTTTTATTGGGGTTTTCTCATAGATCCAAAACAATACAAATAAACGTATCCACCCTGTGACTTGTATCCCTGCTCCCTTCTCGGGACAAAAAGTGTCTGGTACCTTTTCTTATTCTTTTCATGTTATTGTTAATAGTTTGATCTGTTTCCCATGAATTTGGCTAAGCTCCTTTTCAAATCATGTAAGCCAATTGCGACGCCATGCCTCTTCCGTCAATATTGTAAAAAGGTTCAAAAATAAAGACTATATATAGAAAAGTTAATTTGGCTGCCCTGTATCTCAGCTTCATTACATGCCCCACATTAGGAGAGAAAAGGTAAGCTTTCTCTCTCTTTTTTACTTTTCTGCCAACCTGTGCATAAATTTATTCCTGACTCTGAAAATGTCAGGGTTAAAGGTAAGGCCTGTTCTGTCACGCACCAGAAGTAAAGTAAAGGGGCCCCATCTTAATTTCCATGCCTTATGGCAGTGGCACAAGCAGTGGCCGCCTGTGAAGCCTCACAGTGGTGGCAGAAGCAGTGGCAGCCTGCCAGGCCATGTCGTGGCAGCAGAAGCAGCAGTACCTGGCAGCAGTGGCACAATAAGCAGTGGCCTTGCCACGGTGGTGGGAGGCAGTGCCAGAAGTGCCAGCAACCTCTGAGGCCTTGTTGTGGCAGCAGAAGTAGCAGTGGCCTGCAAGGCCTTGCAGTGGCAAAAGCAGAGGTAGCCTGGTGGCGGTAGCAGCAAAAACTGCAGCAACCTTGCAGGCCTCGTCATGGTGGTGACAGAAGTGGCAGCAGCCTGCCAGGCTTTGCCACGGCCTGCAAGAGCTCGCTGCAACTGTGGGAGGTGGTAGCAGTAGCAGCATGCAGGTCCTCACGGCTGCAGCAGCACAAGCAGTAGTGGCCTGCGAGGCTTCACTGTGGCAACAGGAGGTAGCTGTAGAAGTGGCAGCAGCCTGGCAACAGTGGCACAATAATCAGCGGGTTGTGAGACCTCGCCACAGCAGTGGGAGGTGGTTGCAGAAGTGGTGGCAGCCTGCGAGGTGTTGTTGCAGAGGCAGCCTGCATGGCTTCGTGATGGCAGTGGCAGAAGAGGGGACAGCCTGCCCCGGCAAGCCCTCGCAGGCCGCTGCCACTTCTCAGTACTGCTGAGAAGCCTCGCAGGCTGCTGCTATTTATGCTGCTGCAATGAGGCCTCGCAGACTGCCGCCGATACTACTGGATTGCTGTAGCGATGCTGATTTTGTCACTACCGCCACCTGCCTTTGCTACTCCCGATGCTCTGAGGTTTTACAGAATGCTGTTGCTATTGCTGCTGCTTCTCTCCATTGCGGTGAGGCTTCTCGGGCCACTGCTGCTGCCACCACACGACCTCACAGGGTGCCGCTGCTCCTGTGAATACAAAAAGGCCTCACAGACTGCTGTTGCTCTTGCTATCACCGAGGTGAGGCCTCACATGCCATCACTGCTTGTGCCTCTGCTGCCAGGGTGCCGCCGCAATAACATAGCCTTGCAGGCCACTGCTTCTGTCACCTCCTCCTGCCAGCATCACAAAATGGCCTTGTAGGCTGCTGTGGCTTCTGCCACCACCTCCCACCACTGCAGCAACCACTGTTTCGGCCACCGCCAGGCCACCGCCATTTCTGCTGCCCAGCAAGCCTGCTGTCAGCCCCCAATTATTTGACTTCACTATGACTCATCACATTTGCTAGCTAAGCCCAGAGGCAAAAGTCCTGTTTGGATGCATTTTGGCTTGCCTGCTGATGAAAGTGACTGTGTGGCAATTGATAATATTGTCATTTATCAGTTTTAGACCCTTAAGTAGTAGCAGTTGCCTGTTTGCCTCTGCATAGTTCCATCCTTATTGTTGTGATATTTTGATATATTGTGATGTATTTTGGATGCATATTGGCTCCTGCTGATGAAAGTGGCTGTGTGGTAATTAATAATATCGTCAATTACCTGGTTTAGACCCCTAAATAGTAGCAATTGCCAGTACGTTACCCTGTTCACTCTGCATAATTCCATCCTTATTTCAGACATTGTGATGTTTAGCTCGTGATATATTGCAGTGTTTTGCTGGTGATATATTGCAATGTTGAAAACCAGATATCGCCCAGCCTTCTCACACATTGTAATTTGTGAAATAGTGCCCGGTCATACATTATGAAACAGTTATGTGAACTTCAAAGCGGTTTTGGACGATATATTGATAGCATTGCCATTGTGCTGTCTATTACTATTACAACTGATATATTAAATATGCATTTAGTGGGAGGGGGGTGTTAGGTCCTCAGTTCACTGAGAACTTTCACTCTTAGGTCATATAGTTAACAATTAACAGCTCTGTAGTAGTTTACCCTCCACAGCAATAAATGGTGGTAAGCTTCCTCCCTACCTACTGTTGCTGTGTAGGACAAACTTTCTCTGCTTGTTGAATGAAGGGAGGCGGCTTGGTGAATGCTTGGCTAGCTAAGCAAATGTCAATGAATGAGTCAGGCCAGCTGTTTTACTGGAGAGGAACGGAAATGCTACAGAGGGATGATGTAGCAGAGGCCATATACCCTAGCTGCTTAGTTCTTGGAGAATTATTTTTACTTTCAGTGTAATCATATTACTGTTGATTAATTTGATACTGTTACCCGATACATTTTTGACTGTTGATCCATAGGTTGTAAGTCATGAGTGGGCAGCCTTTTTTGAAGTTGGACACATTCCCTCAAGGGAAAATGGTTCAGAGCTGGACACCTGAATTGGAAGGAGCTGGGAGTGGGCAGGACCAAAGCCAAAAGTGGTTGCCTGTTCTCTGTTCCCCAGCTTCTCCCATTCATCGACCAATCAATTTATCCACCCTTTCTTTCTCAGACACACAAGCATGTGCTTCATCCATCCATCATCCATCCATTCTGTCTTACATTTGCTTTATCTCACTGTGCTGTCACCCATCTTTATATATGCCCGGTTTTTAAAACTTCAGTGCATTGCCCCAATTGCTCATTCTGTCACTTATTCTTCATTTCTTTTCTCAGGCCCCACCCTGATACGTGCTTTCCTTTTTTTTTTTTTGAATGATATTTATTAAAGTTTCAATAAAAGATTAAACATAAAACATAAAAAAGAAATACACAATTCAAAATATACAATACATAATCTAAAAGAAAAAGGAAAAATAAAGAAACAAGAAAACACAAGATAAAAAAGAAAGTAGAACAATTAAAAACAATATCATCTTTTCGTCTCCATTTTTAAATTTACTTATTTTCTGGACCTCCTCGTACCTCCCTCTTTTGTATTCCAGTTCAAATTGTTTAGCCAGCAATTTCTTTCCCTCTTTTCTTAATCCCAATCTTAACTCTTGATATAATATAACATTAAAATTTTACCTTTTAAAACCAGATTTCCATTTCCTTAAACTTTTTTAATCCTAATCCTTAATCTTAATCTATCCATAATTTTAAATCCTAAACAGCTGGAAGCCACTTATTTTTAATCCAACATCACTCTAACATTCTTTAATTTTGCAATGTTTCTGCAAATAGTCTTTGAATTTCTTCCAATCTTCCTCCACCGACTCTTCTCCTTGGTCACAGATTCTACCAGTCATTTCCGCCAGTTCCATATAGTCCATCAGTTTCATCTGCCATTCCTCCAGTGTGGGAAGCTCTTGTGTCTTCCAATACTTTGCAATGAGTATTCTTGCTGCTGTTGTTGCATACATAAAGAAAGTTCTATCCTTTTTTATCACCATTTGGCCGACTATGCCCAGGAGAAAGGCCTCTGGTTTCTTGGGGAAGGTATATTTAAATACCTTTTTTAATTCATTATATATCATTTCCCAGAAAGCCTTAATCTTTGGGCATGTCCACCAAAGGTGAAAAAATGTACCTTTGGTTTCTTTACATTTCCAACATTTGTTATCGGGCAAATGATAGATTTTTGCAAGCTTGACTGGGGTTATGTACCACCTGTATATCATTTTCATAATATTCTCTCTTAGGGCATTACATGCCGTAAATTTCATACCTGTGGTCCATAACTGCTCCCAGTCTGCAAACATAATGTTGTGTCCAACGTCTTGTGCCCATTTAATCATAGCCGATTTTACCGTTTCATCCTGAGTGTTCCATTTCAGCAGCAAGTTACACATTCTTGACAAATTCTTAGTTCTGGGTTCTAACAGTTCAGTTTCTAATTTTGATTTTTCCACCTGGAAGCCAATTTTCTTGTCCAATTTGAATGCCCCCATTATCTGAAAATAATGAAGCCAGTCTCGCACTTTGTTTTTTAGTTTTTCAAAACTCTGCAATTTCAGTCTATCTCCATCTTGTTCCAAAATTTCCCAATATTTCGGCCATTTGACCTCCATATTGAGCTTTTTCAAGGCTTTCGCTTTCATTGGTGACAGCCATCTTGGAGTTTTGTTTTCTAATAAATCCTTATATCTTATCCAAACATTAAACAACGCTTTCCTAACAATGTGGTTTTTAAATGCTTTATGTGCTTTGACCTTATCATACCACAGATATGCATGCCATCCAAATACATTGTTAAAACCTTCTAAGTCCAAAATGTCAGTGTTTTCAAGAAGCAGCCAATCTTTCAACCAGCAAAAAGCTGCTGATTCATAATAAAGTTTGAGGTCTGGCAGGGCAAATCCACCTCTTTCCTTTGCGTCTGTTAGTATTTTAAATTTTATTCTGGGCTTCTTGCCCTGCCAGACAAATCTGGAAATATCTTTCTGCCACCTCTTGAAACAATCCATTTTGTCCACAATTTGCAAAGTTTGAAACAAAAACAACATTCTAGGCAATACATTCATTTTTGTCGCAGCAATACGGCCCAGCAGTGAAAGCTTCAAATTTGACCAAATTTCTAAATCTTTTTTCACTTCCGCCCAACATTTTTCGTAGTTATCTTTAAATAAGTTCCCATTTTTTGCTGTCATGTTAATCCCCAGGTATTTAACTTTCTTAACCACTGTTAAGCCTGTCTCATTCTGAAACCTCTCTCTCTCAATCGGTGTTAGATTTTTCTCTAAAACCTTAGTTTTTAACTTGTTCAATTTAAATCCTGCAACTTGACCAAATTCTTGAATCAATTCTAAAACTCTTTTAGTGCTAGATTCTGGCTCCTGTAACGTCAATACTAAATCATCTGCAAATGCTCTCAATTTGTACTGTTTAGCTCCGACCAGTATACCTTTAACCAACTGGCTGATACATGCTTTCCAAGACTTTTTCTGTGTGATTCAACAGCATGTACTTGCCACTGATTTTGTCCTGTGATGCCAGACCATAGCATGCCAGATAGAGTGTCAAGTAGACACTATGTGGTTGGTCCTCTGAGCATAGCTGCCAGAAGAGATGCTTTGAAGCAGCTCTGGTATCTGCTGTCACAAGGCAGACTATAGAGCACACCAGATTGATGATAAATGCTGTTAAGCCATAGAGGAAAGTTATTCAAAAATGCAGACAGAGGGAGGTGTGGAAAGGTGTTGATGGCTGGGGAAGATCACATAAGTATTTTTGTTGGCAGGAAAAAAACAGTGGTGGCAGCAGGTGAAATTGGAAGGGCTGTAGGGATGGGGAACCCTTTTCTGTTGAGAACTGCATTCCCTGTAGCGGTATTCAATAGGACAGTAGAGGGGACCAGAACAACTCCCTGTTGCACATGCATGCTCCCACTCCTGAGCTCCTAGTCATCTTCAAGAGATGGGAACAAGTGGGGCAACCCAGCAAGATGGGTGGGGTATTATTATTACTGTTATTTTTAAATTGCGATTATTATTATTATTGCTTATGGTTCCTCTCCTCTGCTGGAAGCTTTTGCTTCCTTTTCTTGACAGTCCTTGCAGCCAGGGACAAATTCTTTATCCATTCAATAGTTGGCTGAATCTGGTCAGGTGATATAAGAGGTGAACTGGGGAGATAGTAGACACAGCTTCTTAGTAAAAGGTTCATAGAATCATTGATCTTAAAGTTGGAAAAGACCCCAAGGGTCATCTAGTCCAACCCCCTGAAATGCAGATATCCCAACTAAAGCATCCATGACAGAAGACCATCCAACCGCTGCTTAAAACCTCCAATGAAGGAGAGTCCACCACCTCCCAAAGGAGTCTGTTGCACTGTCTAACAGCTGTTACTTTCAGAAAGTTTTCCCTTATTCTTAGTCAGAATCTCCGTTCTTGTAACTTGAAGCCATTAGTTCAGGTCCTACCCTCCAGAGCAGGAGAAAACAAGCTTGCTCCATCTTCCATGTGACAGCCCTTGAGATATTTGATGATGGCTAACATATCTCCTCTCAGTCTCTTATTCAGGCTGAACATACCCAACTCCCTCAACCTGTCCTCATAAGGCTTGGTTTACAGACTCTTGATCATCTTGGTAATAACAACAACAACAACAACAACAATAATTTATTTATACCTCGCCTATCAGGCTAGGTTTCCCCAGGCACTCTGGGCTGCTCCCAACAGAATATTAAAAGCACAATAAAACATCAAACATTAAAAACTTCCCTAAACAGGGCTGCCTTCAGATGTCTTCTAAAAGTTGGATAGTTGTTTATTTCCTTGACATCTGATGGGAGAGCATTCCACAGAGTGGTTGCAACTACTGAAAAGGGCCTCTTCCTGGTTCCCTGTAACCTCACCTCTTGCAATGAGGGAACTGCCAGAAGGCCCTTGGCGCTGGATCTCAGTGTCCAGGCAGAATGATGGGGGTGGAGATGCTCCTTCTAGGCCAAGGCTGTTTAGGGCTTTAAATGGCTGCACCAACACTTTGAATTGTGCTCGGAAACGTACTGGGAGCCAATGTAAGTCTTTCAGTACCAGTGTTATATGGTCTTGGAGGCCATTCCCAGTCACCAGTCTATCTGCCACATTCTCCTTGGTCTCCAATCTGTTAGGGTTATCTTGATTCCTGATTCTGTCTTCTGCAGCATTAGCTACCCCTCCCAGTTTGGTGTCACCTGCAGATTTGTTAAACATCCCCTCAATTCCTTTTTTCAAGTCGTTTATAAAGATGGTGAACAACAACTGGCCTGACACAGAACTCTGCGGCACCCCAGTTGTCACTCCCCCCCCCCCTGATTTTGAGGAATCAATAGTGAGCACTTTTTGAGTTTGGTCAAACAGCTGCAAATCCACTTAACAGTTACCTCATCCAGCCCACATGTTACTAGCTTTTCTGCAATAATGGGGGACTTTGTCAAAAGCCTTACTGAAGGTGAGATACACTACATCCATAGCATTCCCCTAATCTACCAAGCTTCTAACTCTGTCAAAAAAGAAATGAGATTTCATAGAATCATAGAATCATAGAGTTGGAAGAGACCACAAGGGCCAACCTAGCATGATCTGTTTTTGAGAAATCCATGCTGGGTTTACTGCATGTATACTTTACAACTACACTGAAACTCTGTGTGAAGTCAGTCATTGATAGTTTTACTAACTCTAGCTGCATTTATGCTGTTGCTTTCCATATCAGGCTTTTACAGAACTTCAAGCCAAGGTCATTGATACCCAGCAAAAAGTGAAACTGGCAGATCTGCAAATAGAGCAACTGAACAGGACGAAAAAGCACGCACATCTTACTGATACAGAGATTATGACTTTGGCTGATGAAACCCGAATGTATGAAGGTGTAGGAAGAATGTAAGTAAATGTCTCACTGGTTCCCTTTCAGAAGGACTTGGCTACTAGTAACTCCCTGAAAACCTTTTGTGTACTTTTAATACTACTCCAACCTCTTCTGAAAATCTGTTTTGCCATATTTTCACAGCTGAACCAGGTTGGGGAATGCCACTGTTTACCTAACCCTGACTAGACTAAATCCAAACTGAATGAAAACATTTTAGGCCTCAGGTAAACTTAAATCAGAACTGAGTGGAAACATTTACTGGTGTGACTCTCTGGTTATATCTGCCAAAATATACTCGCCAGGGTAAACATGATATCGTTTCAGCCATAGGCTTCTGATGCGCAAGGACTCTCACTAACATGTAGTGTTCTGTGGCTGAAATATGAGATATGAGTAGAGAGAACTTTGATTTGTCTTCATAGGTTCTGAAGATTCTGAATTAATTCTTCACAGCATTAAAAATATGCTAAACATTTGTATATTGGAAGTGCTTATGCCACACTTTGAAATACAGTCTTGAAAATTGAATGTTAGGAAACTTCAGATGTGTTGATGAGGGAAATCTTAAATAATCTCTATTTCTAAACTTTATAAATGTGTTGTTTATGTAATGATGTCATAAAATCTTCATTGAAAACAGACTAATAGCCATGTTATGTGTAGTTGCAAATTGGAACCTTAGTGTCCGATTTTCCTGCCATAATGATAAGACTGGCTTTATGTGCAGTGCTATTCCTGGAGAGAGCCTGTAGTTCATTAAACCCAGCAGAGTGGGAACTGGTGGTAGTGGGAATGGTGAGGATGTGGGGAGGGAGGTGCAAGAGCAAGCTGTCTGATAGATAAGAATGGGTTCTAGCCAACTAACTCCTACTCAGAGTAGACTCATTGAAATCAATAAACATGGCAAACTTTAATCAATTTATTTCAGTGGGTCTACTAATTGGAGTTAGTTGGATATAGTCTAGTGGAAATTAGGGGTGAGAATTGTAACTTAATTGGTGATAGAAACAATTTTGCTAGGCTCTTAAATGGATGATTATAAAATTACTTGGAATTTTGCTTCTCTCATTTGGGGTGAAAAGTGGGTTGTTTTTGTTTCTAAAAATTGCTTCTGTTATCCCTTTGGAGTCCCTTTTTGATATATTTGATGGTAAGTATGCTCAGATTTAGAGAGTTGAGAATCTTATTGCAAATCAATAAACAGCAATATTGGAAAAGGAGAGAATTCCTGATGTGACGTCTGGTGAAAATGAAGTTGATAGAGTTTCAGAATGTGGGGAAATTGTTTTAAGTCTTATAGAGGGTTTCGGATTCTTCTACCCCAAGTTGCTACCTTTCAGTGTACTAGAAATGTGCCAAGTTTAATTTTCCTGGGTGGTGTTCCTGAATTTTGGGGTGATCATTGCTCTCTTTCCCACTTACCCTGTGGCAACATTTTGGTGTTCGTGGAGCACCAGTACAGCAACCCAATGACTAATCTTGCAGCAGTGCAGATAATGAGGCTGAGCTTAAGCAGCACCTGTGTAAACCTTGTTCCATGACTGGAATTCTAGCTGCAGGTCTTACAGTCTGCCCTGTGCACAACAGATTACAGTGGTACCTCGGGTTAAGTACTTAATTCATTCCGGAGGTCCATTCTTAACCTGAAACTGTTCTTAACCTGACGCACCACTTTAGCTAATGGGGCCTCCTGCTGCCGCCGCGCCGCCAGAGCACGATTTCTGTTCTCATCCTGAAGCAAAGTTCTTAACTCGAGGTACTATTTCTGGGTTAGTGAAGTCTGTAACCTGACGTGTATGTAACCTGAAGCGTTTGTAACCCAAGGTACCGCTGTATAGGACTGATTCCCCATAACTGAACAGTTCCAGAGAAAAAGTTTTTTATTTCAGTTTAACGTCTCAAGATAAGAAATTCCATGAGCTTTGCAATGTGTGGAATATAAGTATTCTGACAAGTTCTTTTAATTATCTGTGTGCTCAGATGGTGTAAAGGGAAACATCTGCAAAGATTCAGACAGGACCACTGTGCATTTTGAACTTTCATCATACTTCTCAAAGTAAAATGTTGACGTCAGTTCACAAATAGCTTAAGCAGCAAAACTAGACATTGGTGTGGATGAGTGTATCAGGCTACATAACAAGTCTTTCAAAAGAATATGAACTCACAGAATTAAAATGTACTGGCAAGATGCCAGAAGCCTGCACTATCTTCTGAGCAATGGATACTAGTTGCTTATAGTATGCACCAATTCATCATTCCCCACCATGCACTGCTAGCTTTCTTTGTAAAAATAGTATTGTTCTTGTCAATACTTTTTAGGACTGGATGCCTAAAATCTTGTATTTTGGATGCATTATTTTATATAGATATTGGCTTGAATTTTTAAAAATTCACAGAAGGGAAGTTTCCTGTCTTTGCCTGTTTCTCTGCAGCCACATTTAACCCTCAAAAATTCTCTCTGTAGGGTTAGTGGATCCTTCTGAACAATGTGGGATTGGACACTTCTGAGGGAGTGAGGAATTGACAGCAAATAGTTGGAGGTCCACCCAATTTAGGCTGATCTTTCCCTCTGCCTGCATTCCACCCCACATTGTCCAGGAACCACCTGTGACTTTCCAAAGAGATCTTTATGGTGGGTTGTAGTTGCAGTAGAGGCAGGAGTAAGAAATTTTATTACTGTGAACTTTCTCAAGTTTACTTAATTTAGGATTCAAGCCATTGTATATATGTATCAGCCTTCCCCAATCTTGTGCTCTCCAGATGTTTTGTGTTGCAGCTCAGTGGGCAGTGGGCAGGGATGTAGCCTAAAACATCTGAAGAGCACCAGTTTGGGAAAGACTGGTGCATATGTATGCATATTGTGAAGAAGATGGTTTTAGATGAATCACCACCATGCATATTGTGATGGACAGCTGAGTCAGGCCAGAGTCTAATTCTAATTAATTATTAGACTCTCTAAGTCTAATTAAAGAGTCTAATTCTCGTAGCCTCAGAATTCCACCAGAGTGCTGGGGCCTCTCCCTGATTGGCTACCAAGACAGCTAGCGGGAGGGGTGACGGCACTTTGAGGGGGAATTAAAAGGAGTGGTTTCTGAGAGAGGATTCAAAGATTCTTTAAGAGAGTGCAGGAGGGAGTTGGGAGTTGGTTCTGGTCTGTGTGTTTAACATCCACTTGGAGGGAAATATCTACAGCTAGAGAAAGGAGTCTCTGAGCTTAGGTTGGAAAACAGTGTTTAGTGCAGGGGTCAGCAACCTTTTTCAGCCGTGGGCCGGTCCACCGTCCCTCAGACCACGTGGTGGGCCAGACTATATTTTGGGGAAAAAAATGAACAAATTCCTATGCCCCACAAATAACCCAGAGATGCATTTTAAATAAAAGGGCACATTCTACTCATGTAAAAACACCAGGCAGGCCCCACAAATAACCCAGAGATGCATTTTAAATAAAAGGACACATTCTACTCATGTAAAAACACGCTGATATCCGGGCCTTCCGCGGGCCGGATTGAGAAGGCGATTGGGCCGCATCCGGCCCCTGGGCCTTAGGTTGCCTACCCCTGGTTTAGTGTCTTGGGAGAGTATTCAGACAGGAGTTAACTGGAGGGCTGAGTTTGAGCCAGGAGAAGTAGAAGCTGTGAGGAGGATACAGACTACTTGGGTCATACAGGAGGAGAGAGATCTTCTAGACAGAGAAGAATCCCAAGCTAGTTAAGAGGGGTGTGGTGATCCCCTGCGTGTGTTATACTGCTAGAAGTATTTCAACTGTGATTGATAAAAGGTTGGAAGACTGACAGAAAGTACCACCTTGTTTAAGAACCAAAGTATTAAGCTGTAACACCCATGCAACAACTAAGTTAAGAAACTGAAGTGAAATAACTTGAAATAAGCTAAGCATTTACCAACTAGTCTAGAAACCTGTAACACCAACCTGAAGAGTAATAACTGAAAATAAGCAACTGAAGTTTAAAAGAAGCTGTGTGTTTACTACCCTTTGTGAAGCTTGTAACATCCATTTTTGTATAATTATTAATAAGTTAACTGTTTTCTGAAAGAACTTTTATCTCCTGACAAATCATTGGTTTTACCAATGGTTCTGTATAATAAACCTTTCTTATTTGTTCAACTCATGCAAAAACACTAGATATCCTGTGTTGGTTATAGAGTATATGGGGTCTATGGAGGGGGGTTTGCATCATTCTCGTGGCAGAGGTGGGATCAGCTGCACATATACAGTAATGCAGGTCAGATTGGCTATCAAGATATAGCTATCAAGGGGAACAGACTTGTTGGTATGTAAGAAGTGACTTAGGTGAGATTGACTTCAGGTGTAGCTTGCCATCTATATTTTCCATTGTTGTCTTACAGACTTCTTCTTTGGCAATCACTCGTAGCTGATTAAGATTGTCTTCCATGAACACAGTCTTAACAGTGTGTCTGTAAGTGACTGTGGAGGCCAATTCTGGATCCACACGTCCTTCCACAGTGGGGGAAAAGTTTTCTGGGCAGGAGTTGATCATGGTGAGGGTTTGCCAAACGTGCCTTCCTATTAGCATGTTTCTCCCTTTCGTTCTGAGTTTGACATCTTCAAAGTCCATGACACCTTTGGTAAAGGCTGTTCTCCATGTTTCACAAGCATACAGTAAGGTTGGTAGTACAATAGCTTTGTAAACAAGCATTTTGGTTTCCCTGCGAATGTCCTGGTCCTCAAACACTCTACACTTCAACTGAGAGAAAGCTGCACTCCCAGGGTTCAGGCGATGCTGGATTTCAACATCAATGTCAGCTATTGTGGAAAGATAACTGCTCAGATAGGAGAAGTGACTGACACTTTTCCAATGTTACACCATTGAGTTGGATTTGTGGTGCTGCAGAGGGGTTGTTTTGGGCTTGTTATAGAATCATAGTGACAGAAGGAACCTTGGAGGTCATTATTCCAATGCCTGCTCAATGCAGGATTCTTTTTCTAAAGCGATGAAGGATGCACCCGCAGCATTCCTGACAGATGGCTTTTCAGTCTCTACTTCAATATAGCCAAGGAAGGAAAGCCCACCACTTCCTGACACAGTCTGGTTCATTGTTGATTATCTCTTAGTGTGAGGATGTTTCTCCTAGTGTTAAATTGAAACCATCTTTCTTGCAACTTCCACCTACTGGTTCCAGTCCTGTTACTGAAACAGTGAAGAACATGCCTGCTCCATCTTCTGTGAGACAGCCCTTCAGATATTTTAAGACCATCATGTTCTTCTCTGGGCTAAACATACCCAGCTCTTTCAACCACATTGGATTGTATTAGCTATTCAAGCAGCCACTTAGTTCTGCTGACTCATTCAACTTATGGTCAGTTAAAACACTTAGATCCTTTTCATACGCACAGTGAGGCCACAACTCAAATGTAATCTACTTATGCAATCATGACCTTAGGCACATGACTGCTAAATAAATAAATAAATGGGGAAAACCCATTTAAGCACTTAGTGGGCCCTGGGAAGGTTGTTTCAGGTCTCTGGAAGCATGCCAGGGTCCTTGTGTTACCTTCCCAGAGCCCAGTAAGCAAGGCTGAGGGCAAAGTCTGCCCCAGACAGGTAAGGATGGTTGTTCAGGGCAGGGGGTGGTTCCAGAGGTTCGTGGCGTTACATGATTTTGCCTTTGTGCATGGACCCCTGGAACTGAACCATTGTGTAAGTGGTTGGCCCACTGTATTGCTTCCAAGCCAGGTCTCTCACATCTCACACTTGTGCCTCTGATTCAGAATCAAACAGAAGCACAAAGGTCACTTCTGTTATCAACTGACAGGCCTTATGATTACCAGTGGAGGCCCTGTTAGTGGGCTGCCTTGCGTTGGATGAAAGATACTGTTTTTGGCAACCTTGAAATCAACTAACTGCGAGGATATATGCTGGTGATTTAAGTTCTGCCTGCACAGAGACATTGGACTGTATTTGCCACCTCAGGGGTAATTGCAAAGCTTACAAGTTCAGCATCCAGAACAGCACCTTGGAGAGCTCCTAGTGATGTTGCCCTGTTGGGGTTTCTTCCCTCATCACAACATGGACAATTGTTGCCACCACAAGAGCCTGGAACCACCCAAAGTTTCCAATCTTGTTTAAGGAGGAGTGCTTTTTAGTGTTATTCCCGGTTAATATTAGTATCCATCTAATATTCAACCCTTGTTAAAAATGAGATTATTTTTAAATAATATGCAATCAGTTGTGAAATGCAACAACCCTTCATCTCCCCCAAATATTTGCAGTTAAGAAAAATCGCCTATAGTTTAGCGATGAAGTATGGCTGTTGCTGAGAATAACAGTTGGAAAGTTTGTTGTTGAATGTTCATACACAAAAACTATTGAGCAAGTTATACAGAATGCTCATTGAGAAAAATATTTCAGCAAACACCTGTAAATAAAATGGAAAAAAGATTTGAGACATGAGGTATCACTAGACATAAGGAAATGGTTATGGCAATTTGTTTAACAAGCTATTAGTATAAATTTGAAAGGAAACTTTTATTAAAAAAATTAAATGTATAATTGCATCAAAAGGGGAGCAAATAATATAATATGGAGTTTTAAGACAATATTGGTCCTCTCCTAAAAGAACCTTTGGGGCAGCTATATTAAAAGAAAGTGAAACTGTAACTGGAGGTGAAATACTGGCATACCGATTAGTTACATTATTTGGTTATGGTAAAGATTTAGTTGTATTGGATGATAGAGAAATGGTATCTTTTAACAGCTATCTGCATAATGGTTTGTCATCATAAACGGAGTATGCCATTAGATCAGGCATAGGCAAACTCGGCCCTTCAGATGTTTTGGGACTACAACTCCCATCATCCCTACCTAACAGGACCAGTGGGCAGGGATGATGGGAATTGTAGTCCCAAAACATCTGGAGGGCTGAGTTTGCCTATGCCTGCATTAGATTATTGAACGTTAAGGGTTTGGGAGATAGTTAGGGTGAAGGAAGATAGACACCCCAATGGGAAAGGGCTGTAGCTTAATGGCAGAGCATCTGCCTTGTATGCAAAAGGTCCCAGGTCCAATTGCCACCATCTCCAGGTAACAATCATGGAGATCTGCTGCCCATCAGTATAGACCATACTGAACTAGAGGGACATCATGTGAGACCTATTCCTCTTCAGTCATATTTTTATTGAAAGGTTTGGTGTTTTTATCATGCGCTGGTGTTACCAAGATACAAGAAAATGTTGAACTATACATATTATTAGAAACAAATGTAAATGTAAGAGTATTATGGGTTGATTTCATACTAAATACTTTTAAATGCTAAATAAATCAACACATTTAATGAATTAACACATTACATAAATAAATGTAAAAATGGGAGGCAGGCAATGTGGGATTCACATGAGAAAAGAAAGGGGCTAGAGGCAAAGTGCTGCAAGGGAAGGGGCTGTATGGTCCTACAGGCCTTTGTTGCTCACGTAGCCACAGTTAGAAGATGTGTGCCAGCACAAGCCCTGGCATAGGCAACAAGCCTACGAAGGCTAAACTATGCTTTTGTTTGGTGTTTCTTGCATGAAAGGATGCTGGAAACGAAGGTAGAAAGGAAGTGGAAGTCTTGATGCATTAATTCTGTTTTGATGCTGGGATGCATCTTGTTAAAATGCAGCTTTAGCCTTGAATTTTCAAATATTTTTTTTACATGTTCTGTAAAGTGTAAATTGAACCCCTTTATAAATGGATATTCATAAGGTTTGCCTTCCCCCTAATTCTGCCCTGGTAGTGTTTCAGAGCCAAACCCTTTCTTCCTTTGTCAATGCCATATTATTTCAAACACTTTTATAGAGGTGCTCCACAATATTTTTTAAGACATTGAACAATGGTATAAATCTACCCTCTAGTTAAGTGTCTAGCAATGCAAGAAGTCCCATTTGGAAGCTGTATGGTTATTTCTGTTTACTTAAGTAATATAATATGTTGGAGCTCTAGACCAGTCCTGCCCTCTGGCAAGTTAATGGAAATATTAGATGTAAGGCAAATTACGTTCCATACCTTCAGAACAGGTACCTCCTGGAAAAAACCTGCCTGCCCCTATACCTTTTACAATAAGTTTAACAGGTGATTCCCCCCCCCCATCACTGTGTCTTCATGCTGGGGAAAGCTTCAACTGGCAAATTTCTGCATGCCCCACTGCTGTAAAGGTAAAGGAGCAAGATCAGTGGGAAAAGGTGGCAACAGTAGGGGCAGGTATGCACCTGTCTGCTCAACTTTTCAGTGTCTGTGTATCAGTAGTAAACTGAGCAATAGTTCTCCTTTCTGGCAGGTCATATCACATTTCTAGGGCGTTGTACAACAAGGTTCCTAGGACAATCTTGTCCTAATCAGTTTATTACATAACTAATTGATGCATGACTGCTGATGTGCAGGTAATTTTGGACCCGGAAGAAGGTGGATTGGGGATGGGTGGGCTTATGCATGTTCCACTGACACACATGGGGGCAAAGAATGCAGCCCCAGCACAAATAGGGGTGGTGGTGTCTCTAGTTTCAACTGTGTGAATGCGGTGGATGTCAGCCCACTGTTCTTGGCAGCTCTTGGTAAAATGGTGTTAAAATAAAAGCATTAAAATATGGAAAGCAGACATCACAATAAGACAACCCGCAATAAAAGTAAAGTGTCATAAACCACCAAAATATGCAACAGACCAGTACTAGAGAGCCAAAAATGATTCAATTGAATATTGGGGGGTTGTGGACTTTCTGTCATTGATCTTTTGGTTGAGATTCCTGCATTGCAGAAGGTTTGGCTAGATGACCCTTGGGTCCCTTCTAACGATACAATCCTGTGATTTTATGATTCTATGCTATCCCCAAGGTCCATCCCCAAGGAAAGAAGAAGAGAGGCAAATCTTGGGAGGTTACTATCGCTAGCATCAAGCCTGAAGGGTGTAGACTGTTGGGTACCCATGGTGAGGCTTGCATAATCCCTCTAATTATGAGGAAAATCTTGGAGGGAAAAATAGGGAGCGGTTGTTTTTCATGGTGTTACAAATGGCAAGGGAGGACTGGATGATCATCAGGGATTATGGAAAACATAGTTCAGCAACATCCGGCAGTCCTGCTGTAGAGAATATCCAGAAGCCTTTTCCAGTAGAGGTTCATAAGACAAGCTGACTTTATGCTCTGAATGGAAGACAAGCCTGTCAATGTAGAATTCAGTGTACTTTTCATTAAGATTTTATTTGGTTATTTACAGCACCAACTCATGAATGCTGAATATACTGCCATATTCTTTTCTCTTTCTTTCACACTTTGTAGGTTTATCCTTCAGTCCAAAGGAGTAATTCATAGCCAACTCTTAGACAAACAAAAAATAGCAGAAGAGAAAATTAAGGAATTAGAGGTAAGTTTGGGGTTGGTAAAATGGCAGCTATTTATTGCATTTTTTATTTTCTGTTTTATACTGCCTTTTGTCCCAACGCAGACTTAACTTACACCTGCTTGCTTTATGCCAATAAGGATTGCTCCCTTATTGTCTCAACGGAAGTGATGCTAGAGGTTAACTGCACAGTGCTGTTTCTTCATCGCTTGTGAACTGATAATGTGAACCATGTTAATGTGTGTAATAAGTTATTGCTCACAATTGTATTTGAGGAACAAGAGGCTTGTGGTTTTCATTTATTAACCCCCTAATTGGTCACATGGAGATCACCAGCATCTCACTCTCAGTGGGCAAATTTGTAGTGCCTGCATATCCTCAAGCTGCAGCAGTCTAGGAGCAGGTACTGAAACGGGCAGAGATCTCATCCACTGCAGAAAAGAATATGAAAAGGCAGACATGACAAACACCCTTTTGATAACTTGTTGTAGGATTGTTTCAGCTTCGGAGCTTTCAGTCATACCCAAATCAGTGAGTTGTTCACCTTAACATTTCCTTGGCAAAAATATTGGCATGGCAAATATATTCTTGGTGTTCAGTATTTAAAAAAAGGACTTGTAGTGAGAGAGAGCTTCTGGCAATTTCCTAGTCTTTGAACATCTATTTTTAGCTATTTTAATGGAAAGGAGGGAATAGATACGTTCAGGAACAACTGTGTTAATGATATGAAGCAAGCTAACATTTTAATAACATTTGGGGCTGAATGTCAGGTCTCATCAAATGAAGACAAAGTCTGCTTGACTCGGCAGCTAAGGACAGCCTTGGCGGCCAGTGCAGGTCAGATGCCCTAGAGGAAAAATGGCAGACATATTAGAGCTATATTTGTTCCTCTTTCAAAAATGCATTTGGAAATAACAGCTGTCATTTCTCCATGATGATGGCCACGGCCTCATTGCTAGAACAGTTGGCATTGGGGTTCAGGGTCAGCATTCTGAACAAAGTTTCCTCTTTTTTGGGCTGGTTTTATAGTTAGTTTTGTATAATGAGCCTTCAATACATTGTGGCTTCTGCTAAGCTTCTGTTTGTGGTAGGAAATGGTACTTGACTTTTTGAACTTCCAGAGAGCTTGCTGAGCTAAACGAAATTGTTGGACTTCTTCAGTTGCAGCCTTGATAACCTTGAGGCAGCAGAGCTGGCTTATTCATCTGTGCTTTGAACCATATGATAGCCTATGAAGTATCTGTGCTGCGACAAGGTTAAATTTTGCCAGAAGCAGAGTGGATTTTAGGAGTGAATAGTTCAGGGAGGTGGCAGCTAGATTTCGTTCGTACCACTGTTGCTAGTTACCTTCATTGCATGCTCTCCAACTCTACCATTATTACAGTTGTCCTGGTTGATGAAGGTCTGGGTTGATGAAGCCTCATACTAGAGGCACAGTCTTCTGTCTTGATCCTCCTTGGCTGTGTGACAGAACCTCCCACATCATTCATGGGCTGATGAATTTGCAACCGTTTCAGAACCAGATGTGAAAAGTGTGTCTGCCATGTTTTCACAGCTAAAGTACTGTGGTGAAGAGACCTAATGTGATAAAATGAGGGGAAAGTAGTGCCTTTAAGATTTTAAGAAGCTGCATGTTTTGAAAATTGCATAATTGAGAAGGGGTTTTGTTTCATCCAGTCTTTTTTGATGGTGAGAAGATGACCTCACTCACCTAACACAAGTGTTGAGAGCAGCCTTCCCCAACCTGGTGCCCTCTGGATATTTTGGACTATAACTCTCTTCAGCCCAGCAAGGTTGGGGAAGGCTGGTTAAGGGGTGGTACTTCACAATTTGCTTTGGAGAGTAAATTTTATATTACTCGAGTGTCCAAAAACCATGTTTTTCTCTTTTTCTGAATAGTGCTCCTCATTGGTTAATATATGGGCTATATTTTTGAGCTAGACCACCAAGCATGTCTTGGAAGAAATATATTGTGCTATATTGTGGCATGCCCTAACAGCTTTTGTATTGCACACATTCACTTTTTTGCCCCCTATAACAGCCACCTCTTTTGCTGTTGTAGGGAAACCTGAGCAACTGGGAAGTTCTCCTGCTCACATTTTTGAGATTTTTCAAAGACTTCCTGCTGCTGCAGTTTGGAGCTGCATCTCCAATTGGCATGGCTGCCTTCTAGTAGCAGCACAGAGGTTTGGGGAGGTGTCTGCATGCAGACTCCAAGACAGTGTTATCCGACTATATATTTCATACACATCTGGAAGCATGTTGTTGTGATATTTATCCTCCTATTAAAACTTTTTGCAAAGAAACATAGAGGCATTGGTCTTGTAGTTGTTCATGTAGAAGACAAAGATTATGGCTTAGCACGAACAAACAAGTGTGCTGATGCACAGTAAGAAAACAGTGGCTGCTTTCTCTCTCCCAGCTGAGACTGTGCCACCAGGAATAAAGCGATGGTCTGGTTCAGGGTTATGTCTGAACTCAGACTTGTGGTTTGTCTCACATCAAACAAACAGTGAGCTGCAACCAAGGCTTATTCTTGACTTACGACTTGTGATTTGCTTGGGGGAGACAAACCATGAGCTTGAGTTGGGCTGTAATGCTAAACCAAACAAAGGCTTAGCTTCCATAGCATGGTGGCAGCAGAAGTGTGGAAGACACAAAGCTGCCACAATTTGCTAATTGCACCAGCATGCTTGCATGTTCACACTAAGTCATAGTTGGCTTGGCACTACAGAATTAATACATCTTGTCCAATATTGTCCACTTCAACTGGCAGCAGCTGTCTGAGATCTTGGGTCAGACATCTTTCAAGGTCCCACTGTCTGAGGTATTTTGCCACTGAGACGAAGCCTGGAACCTTCACCATATACAAATATGGCTGACCTATGGCCCTTTCCTCAGAACTGCTTGCAGTTGTGGGAAGCATTTTTCCTGCTGATGAAGTGGGCCTAGAATCATAGAATCATAGAATCATAGAGTTGGAAGAGACCACAAGGGCCATCGAGTCCAACCCCCTGCCAAGCAGGAAACACCATCAGAGCACTCCTGACATATGGTTGTCAAGCCTCTGCTTAAAGACCTCCAAAGAAGGAGACTCCACCACACTCCTTGGCAGCAAATTCCACTGTCGAACAGCTCTTACTGTCAGGAAGTTCTTCCTAATGTTTAGGTGGAATCTTCTTTCTTGTAGTTTGGATCCATTGCCTCTCCCACAGCCTTGACAATATTGAATATTCTTGATACCATATTGGCCCGAATATAAGCCACACCTTTAAAATTCAAGGGGAGAAAAGAAAAAAAGACAATGCCCGAATATAAGCCACTCCCTTCACATTCCGCAGGCACTCACACCTGTTCTGTTTTACCGTATGTCTGTTTCAGCAGCGATATTGTAAAAGCCAGTTTTTGTAAGGTTGTAAATTTAAGCTGCACTTTAACTTTTCATGGTTGGAATTTGGAAAACAGGGTGTGGTTTATATTTGGGCCAATACAGTAAGTGTTCATGAGGGGAGGTGGGGAGAGATCTATTTTGGAAGCATCCTAAAATGATAACAGCCCACTTTTTTTGCTTAAAAATGCTAGGAGAAACTATTTCAGGAAAGAATAATTTGATTTCATTGTGGTACATGATAGTGCTTAGTGTTTCAGTGTGGCATTTGAGAAAAAGCAAGTTTTCTGATGCTGTAAAGACATGGAAAACACCCATTTCTCCTTAGTGGAGGAAGTGATTATGGCTGTGTGTTTTCACTGTTAGTACTTGATAATCCTTCTCTCCCCCTTACTATTCTCAGCCTGCTTAGTTGTTGGGCGTTGTCAGACGAAGTGGCTAAAAATAACAAATAAGGGGGAGGCTGCTATAAGGTGGATTTCTCTACTACTGCGACTTGCTGTATTTATATTTACCATATGATGGGGGAGGCTGGGCAGTGGGAGAGAGAAGGCCTGTTTGGCATTCTTGATAAATGGGATATACTGTCCCAGCCTATGGGGGCCATCTCTTGGTAGGTTTTAGAGAGCTTGTGATCTAAAGTGGGTTCTTCCTTAACAAATAAGTACAGAGTTTCATCTCATTATTCAGTTGTTAAATTTAGATATACTGCTTAAACTTAATCATTCATTTTAGAAAGGCATCTAGTTTTGGCAAAAGGCTTCAAGTAGCAGGGAACTCTCCACAATTCTGCTTGATATCTTCATATTTTTTTTACCTTCTCCCTGTTACCGTGATGACTAATATTTTACTGCTTGGCAAGTAGAAGATCCTGTCGTCTCTTCAACAGCCCCCTCACCCATTCAAAATGTTTTAAGGAAACTGTTTGATCAGTGAGGGCTATTCTAATCAGTCCACCAGACCTGCTGAAGTTGCAGATTAACAGAAGCTGTGCAGGACATGGGTGAGCCTGTGATACCATGCTGTCCCAGTATTCTGACAGATAATTTTCTCCATAGTGGTGGGAAGCAATGAATGCACGGCTGCTGGAGCAGGGACAGATTGCTTGGCTCCAGCTGCAAAGGGGAGTAGTGTGGGAGAGTTTTAGCAGAATGCCCAGGTGTGCTGCTTACCTGGCTTCCCAGGGCTGGGGTCATGGCAGGTTGCTGACAGGAGGGAAGGTGAGGCGATGGAGAGGTTGGTGCCAACACCTCCCTGCTGCCTCACCTCTTCCTCTTGGAAACTGCCCGTGACCGCAGTGGTGGGAAGCCGCCCTGCCCCACCAGCCGCTACTGGAGGAGAGGTTGCAAGGCGAATGGGCATGTGCCATGGGGCAGAGCTTGCCAAGGGCCACGGGATTTAGATATACCTTCAAAATGATAATAGCTCTATGGGCTGAGAGTGGGTTATAAGGAAACTCTCTGCTCTGAATACAAATACATTGCCCAATCAGGTTTCTCTCACCTGCATATGGTTTTTAAAGCCACCTTTTGTATGTACAGAGGCTACAGTATCATTCTAAAATACTTTCTGAACCTGTTTTTATTTTGGTCTGTCACTGTTTTCTACTGTAGTTTTCTTGAGTATATGAATACGTTAAATTGAAAATAATGTATACACATTTTAGTGTGTTACTTTCAAAATCGGTGATTTAAAAGATTGTTCTCAATCACCTTTGTCTCAACATACTGTTTTCGGAAAATAAATTTTATCTTTGTGAGATTTCCATCCTTTTGTAAGTTTCCAGTGGAGAAGGCTTTTAAAACAAGCCAACTCCCATACAGCCAAGTAAAACTGACTCTTCCCAAAGTCCCGCCATAGCAAAACACCCCTCTCCCCCTGTTTCTTTCCACCAGTATTTTAATCTGGGTTGTCTAATGTTGACACAGCTGCACAATCATGATAACATTCCTAATGAGTGATGGGAGTTTTCTGATTTCTTGATTTTCTGCCTTCTGCTTTTCCAACTTCGTTCTGTTCTGAGCACTTTAGAAGGGATGTCCCTCAGGTCAGTGTCAGCGGCAAAGTGCCTCTTCTTTATATATGCTGTTTAGGCCAAGGCCACATCAAGGATTTTTGCTCTTTAAATAAATCAGTATTTTGGCACTTTTGCACCCTCCTTCCCCTGCCCCACCAAATCTGCATTGCTGCTTCTTGGTTTTCAAAATTCAAACATTTTGAACAGAATGTTTCTGGGTTGTCCTAAGTGCCTTCCACTGAAAATGCATGTTTGAAATGCAGAACTACTCCTAAGTATCTGTGTCCTTGTTGATGATTAGGCTGTCTTGAGCATAGGTCTTGGAATTTGTGCTGAAATCACTTTGCACCTAAACCTGGTCTCCATGTATTGGATCAGGATTGCCAGTAAATAGAGGATTTATTATCCACTTTTTACCCACCTTGTATAGTGGGTTTTAGAGATGGTGTCTTATGCGTTGTGCTGCCTGACTTCAGAGCAGTGAGATAGTAACTCATCTGATATCTCCACTTGGGACAGTTACATCTGTGATTTTTCTACAGAGCCTCACTTGCTAGTCATATATCTCACCCTCAAGGTCTTTTAACATTGCTCTAGGCCATACTTTGACAGTCATTGCACGAGTAATCTCTACTCACAGAATTAATTTCATTTGCATTTATCTCAAGTATGATGACCCACCCTACACATTCCTTGCTGTTCCTTCCTCACTTTGGTTTGCTATGCAAAACCAGAATAATAGATTTTTTTGCCTCTTCTGGGAGGAGCAGGACATGTTTAAACAGACTAGTGTGTAGCATTGCTTAGAACAGAGCTGACAAAGCTTTGACTCATCCTAGCTAGACACACCTTAGTGTTCAGGTATGTGGCTGTGATGTCACAACTTCCTGCCTGGCCCACACCTCTCATTTTTACACACCTTTCACTTCGCTTGCAGCTAAATGTTAATAGATGGGACGAGCCCTTCCTTGTCTATTGTACATAACTGTCGGGCACATAAAAGTGTTTGCCAGGAAGGCTGGGCTCTTTATTGACCCATAGTTGATATCTTGCTTTCAGATATGTGAAAAATGTAAGATTTCCTTTACAGTCAGAAATGGTTTCTAATAGCAAACAGCTTTGAGTTTACACCTGCCAGTCTGTAAAAGTTGAGAAGACACTCACTAGTGTCACCAAGAGACAAAAAACCAAGATAAAGCTATGCATGTGAACAAGTGGGACTTAATTATCCAGATAATAAAGATGTGAAAGGGGGAAAATGGCTTAGTTGCTTCATTTTAATGCTTCATTTCCTTTTCCCTTTAATAAGTAATTTGGAATTAGTTCATTTGTTTTGGTTTTCCCATCCATTTTGATGAGACATTCATCCATTCTTCTGCTGCCTGCATCCTTTGTGTTTTCCATCAAATGGCATCTTTTCTGGTGTTCTGCTGCCAACCATCCATGCACCAGTCCTACCATATTTCAGACAGATGGGCAAAGCATGCCCATTTTATAGACAAGTTGATTTTTTTATACACTACATTACATTGTTTACATTAATTTCACTGGGAGACCCAGCTGTATTCCAGCTTGTCACTTGTCTGCCTGAAATTCTCAAAGGCATTTTTCCAGAACTTGTGATAGGCAGAGATGCAATAATTTTCTTCATTTGCCACATTGGGAATGGCCAGCAGTATTCAACAAGGATCATAAACAAAATTTCACAAGCTGTCTAGACAGCTTGAACCCTCATGAATTGTATCTGATTTTTTTTTAAGCTGCTGCTGCTGTTTTATTTATGCCCCACCCATCTGGCTGGGTTTCCCCAGCTACTCTTGATGGCTTCCAACACATATAAAAACATCAAACATTTAAAACTTCCTGATACAGGGCTGCCTTCAGGTGTCTTCTGAAAGTTGCATAGTTACTTGTTGCATTGTTATTTATCTCCTTGACATCTGATTGGGAGGGTGTTCCCTAGGCCAAGGCCTGCCACTGCCAAGAAGGTCCTCTGCCTGGTTCCCTGTAGCTTTGCTTCTTGCAGTGTGGGAACTGCCAGAAGGCCCTTGGAGCTGGACCTCAGTTTCTGGGCTGAGCAATGGGGGTGGAGATGCTCCTTCAGGTATACTGGGCTGAGGCTGTTTAGGGCTTTAAAGGTCAACACCAACACTTTGAATTGTGCTCGGAAACGTACTGGGAGCCAATGTAGGTCTTTCAGGACAGGTGTTATATGGTCTCAGCCATGGATAGGCAAACTGAGGCCCAGGGGCCGGATCCGGCCCAATCACCTTCTAAATCCAGCCCGCGGATGGTCCGGGAATCAGTGTGTTTTTACATGAGTAGAATGTGTGTTTTTATATTAAAATGCATCTCTGGGTTATTTGTGGGGCAAAGGAATTCATTCTTCTTTTCTCAAAATATAGTCCGGCCCCACACAAGGTTTGAGGGACAATGGACCGGCCCCCTGCTGAAAACATTTGCTGACCCCTGGTGTCGGCAGTCATTCCCAGACAACAGTCTAGCTGCCGCATTCTGGATTACTTGTAGTTTCTGAGTCACCTTCAAAGATAGCCCCACATGGAACTCATTGCAGTAGTCTGAGGGCGGGGGGCGGGGGGGGGGGCGGATAACCAGTAGTAGTGACACGTGTAGTAGTAGTAGTAGTAGTAGTAGTAATAATAATAATAATAATAATAATAATAATAATTTATTTATACCCTACCCATCTGGCTGGGTTTCCCCAGCCACTCTGGGTGGCTACCAACAGAATTAATGATGATGATAATGATAATAATAAAAATTAAAAAGCAATAAAACCCCAGACATTAAAAACTTCCCTAAACAGGGCTGCCTTCAGATGTCTTCTAAAAGTCAGATAGTTGTTTATTTCCTTGACATCTGGTGGGAGGGCATTCCACAGGGCGGGCGCCACTACCGAAAAGGCCCTCTGCCTGGTTCCCTGTAACCCACTTCTCACAGGGAGGGAACCACCAGAAGACCCTCGGAGCTGGACCTCAGTGCACTGCTGATCTTTATCTGGCACCCAACTGGGGTTGACAATCTGATTTCTTTCTGTTTATATTCCACTGTCCATGACAAGAGGGTGTTCAAAGCTGTGCTAGACTTCTGGGTCAGGTTACATGTTGTACTCAGTTGCCAGACACGCACGGCAGCCGCCTGTGTTGCAAGTAGGGAAATACAGTCCACCTTGTAAGGATTCTGGCACCTCAGCAGTCTTTGGCAATTCACTGCACTGCAAAAGATACGTAAGCGTGCTGTGTGGATTTCTATGTCCACCTTTAACCGGGTTTTACTAGTTGCCTGTGATTTTCAGTCATTGAGGTTGGGCCTTCCGGTGTACTGTATGTACCTGTTAACAGCAGGTGGACTCGTCTTGTCCTCTTTGCTCCTGGTGGTGGTGTACAATTTGTTTTCCATTTTTATTTGGTTTGTGATCTGTTGCATCCAGTGTTTTTATTTGAATGGATTTTCAATGCTCCAGTTAAATTACTAGACAAATAAGTAACTTGATAGTATCTGTCTATCTTAAGTTGCTTATTTATATGCCTTGTAACACAGACAACTTGGCCAGAGTCTGGAATATGAGGAAATCTAGGTGGATTCATCTCTGATTCATTTTGAACTGATGCTGCTCAAATTTTGGAGACCTTGCCCTGTCCTGGATGCAGCTTTTCTTTAGAGAGGTACATGAAACAAGCTGGGCATGTTGGATTGAGTAACTTTGGAAGGAGAGGAATGGGCATGTGGACTATTGCTATAGATGGGTGACAGAAGATAGGTGTGATTCTTTGGCCTTAAATAGAGGAGTTCTGTGAATGGTATATATATTAAATCTGGATGTGTAACAGCATATTTTGTTTGCTCTTAGATGAGTTTACAGGGTCACTTACTTCCTTTGAGTTCAGTTAGATTAGTTTAAGAGACAAAGCCTTCAAGACTTTTCACTTGGAGTGTGATTATATTATTGCTTGCTTGCTTGTTCTCTGCATTGAAAATCTTTTGATATAAAAGCAGATTGTAAATTTTCTAAATACATAAGATAAACTTCACGGATCATAGGATAGTTAAAAATATTTGACTTCATTGCCCTCAGATGGTTACATCTTTCCATTCAGCTGAGAACTATGTGGGCAATTTTAAGCATTCCAGTGATGGCGGCAGCTCCAGAAACTCAGTAGAACCATAGTAACTTCACATTGCTCCTGTCTGTCCCTGTGGGACAGGAGCTTTTCCCCCCCTTGGGGCTGGAGAGAGGAGTACTCTCCAGAGAAGCGAGAGTGCCCTGCTGTGTCTCGAGATATGATTATCACTTTCCCTAAGAGTGTTCACACACAGTGTCAAAAGAATGTAAAAAATGAGAAGTGTTAACTTTAGAGATTCATAAACTCCAGGCCAGACATTTTTTTGAGACTGTGTCACAAGACACTTGACATCAGGGGTTTTAATTCAAGGCAATTGTATCATACCCAAGGATTCCAAGCCTTCGTGAATGAAGGCATCTGATTATGAGCATCTAACAGGCTGACACTTCAGAATGTGATGCCAGTGCTTGAGAAGAGCATCTTCAGAAAAGGAAGCTGACCTTGCCATTTAGCTCTGTAGATGCAGGGATGCTGATCTATCTGTCCCCTTTGGTCCAGACATAGCAGCATTCTGCTGCTGCTGCTTGGAGCCTGTGACTGAAACTGGCTAGTCTGTTCAGATTGCCAGCTCTGTAAGGATAGCAGACTTCACAAACCAGCGTTCTCCAATATGTTGCCCTTCAGAGGTTTCAGCTTTCATCAGCCTTTGTTAGCATGGGCTGCCGAAAACTGGGAAGTTAGTTTTAGGGAATAAATGGAACACATTTCTTACAGTGTCTTAACATCTAATCCTCAGAGATATTGCGGCAAAAGCTTCAATCAGACGGATTGGCCATGAGCCAATGTAGCACTTAACTGCCAAGATTGTAATAATTTGATTCATATTTGCAATAGCCCTATGAACAACTCAATGCTGCATCCTTTACCTGAGCCAGAATCAGGAGTTCAGTTAGCCACCCACCTACCTATTCCAACATATAGTAAGTAGCTGTATTATCTCTCTTCTATGCAAGGCAGACGCTGATCAGGAAATTGTATGCTTAGTTTTCATAAGTCAGTCATTGTGGAGTCTGACTCACGGGTTCCTGTGTGGTTGTGGAATTCCTGCAGGGTGACTGTTGCCTTGATCTCTTTTCTGGATACCTGTTTGAATGGCAGCTATTTACAGATTTTGCTAGAAAATTGCTTTGAAGATATGCTGGAAGCCAAAAGCCAGGTGGGTGGGTGGATAGCAGCAGGTTGCTCCATTAAGGGCCTGCACAAGTTGTGAGCCCATCGGGGGCTCTTGGCTGGGACATCTTCAGTTTGGTCAAAAGTTGTGCAGGGCTGACTCAGCCATAGACCATTAAGGTCTTGGCAGAGAATGTGGGAGAGTCAGCAGTGGCCGAACCAGGCAAGCGGCTTTTTCTTCCGCCAGTGTGCTGGAGGTTGAGAAATCCATTCTGGATGGTAAGATGGTGGTTACACTGGAAATTCTGCTACCTTTTTGCAATTGATTTGATTTCTCAGAGGACAAAGAGCAGCCAGACATTCCCACTGTGTTGATTCATTAGAGAGAAATATTTGTCAGACTTGGAATGATTAGTTCCCCATGCACAGTTGCCAGGTGAACTTGCTTTCTCAAGCACGCTCTCTGTGTGGCATTAATATAGACCACTGTCCTTCCGATAAGTATGTTGAGCCAGAATGTTGTACACTTATTTCTCAAAAATCAATTTTTTTCTTTGTTCTCATGGATGATGATTGCCATTTGAAAAGCTTTGTTCATGAGAGTTAAGAAGTTTCCTACTTTCCCACTTCCTACACTTCTGGTGCCTTCTGCATTATTATTATTATTATTATTGTTGTTGTTGTTGTTAATTATTATTTTGTATACCGCCCTGTACCTGCATGGTACAGGTTTGTAAACTTTTTATTCTTGCTGCCATGTGGTCAGGTGGAAACAAATAGTATAAAGCTAGAAAGTGTTTCCTGCTTTGCGGTGATGGCCCATTTTTGTCCTGGGATCCAACACTGGAGCTGGTAATCATACCAGACTCTCGAAGGAAGCTGGCAGCTGGGGCACCTAACTGGCCCAAGCCTTCAGAGCCACTAGAGAGATAACTGACATAGGTTGAATCCCACCTGGGGAATCTGGATGGGAACGATGATGCGGCCATTCCAGCATTCCTTGGCATATATGAGACCTTTTCTGGATGGGGTGCCTGCTGGGGAAATGGCTTCACTTTTTGTTGGAAAGTTATTAACAATGACTGTGGGGACAAGTGTACTAGTTCCACCCATGAAAAGGGAATCGTTCTACATGTGCACTGCTTTCTCTCATCCATGTATGAGTCTAACCTCCACCCACCCACCCACCCACCCACCCACCCCATTCCCACTAGGCCTTCTATCTTACTGGGAAGTCAACATACCTTTCTGGTCTTTGGGCTTTTTGAGAGAAACGGCAGGCAAACAAGAGAGGAGAGTTGGCAAAACACCATGGTGGCACCTCGTCTTTGAAATGCCCTCCCTAGAGAGGCTTGCTTGGCATCAACTCATTTATCTTTCCAGCACCAGGTGAAGACTTTTTAATGTGCGCGTGCCTTTTTCTTATTTTGATATTGCGTCCTCTTACTGGTTTGAGTTTTGTGGCTTGTGATGGGGGTGAGCGGTGGTCCTACTTGCCTTAGCCAGCACCCCGTTGCACTCCTGCTGGCAGGGCAGAAATAAGGGTGGAAGAGAGTTCTGGGGGTTCCTCTGGTTTTCTCCCAGGTTTGTTTTGTTTTTTAAATAAAATAACACTTCATTTGGAAAGCAATAAGAGGGAATTAAAGGGGCTTGAGCTCTGTTCTTTTCTTGTCACCCCTCTTTCCTGCCCCAAATACTCCTGCTGTATGACACAGTCTGCATCAGAGCACCCACAGTGGTGAGTCAGCGCTGGCTGTGCTAGCACAGAAGTTTGCAGTGATGCGTATAGATCTGTGCAAACCATCTACCTTGTCCCCAGCTCCCAGAGCAGAAATATTTGGTGGATGTTTCAACCAGGCCCTTTTAAAACTCATTTGTAATACCTCTTTAAGGATGTTTTAGTCAGGATTTCCTGACAAAGGTATTGAAAATCATTCAGCTTAGAAACATGGTCATTTACTAAGTTTTCAGCCTGTGTCTTCAATTAAAGAAAACATTGGATTGAAAATTATATTGCTCTTCTGTCTTGAGTAAAACTCATATTGAAAACTAGATATCAGAGGTTTGTGGCCTAGAGGAATGGCTGACATACTTTTGCAAGCAACATTCCTCTGTTTTGGGTTGTGCTGGCATTTGCCTCTTTCCTGGCTTAAAAACAAGGTGTTCCTCATCTGCCATTAGTTAGGTGCTCATGAGTACCTGCAAAGAGGAGGGGGGAGCCTAAAGCTAGGCTTGCACCCTGCTGTCTGGAGCAAGGGGGGCATGAGGACAGAGCAGTACAGCCCTCGTTTCCTTTGTCAGGAAGAGGAAGTGGCGAAACCCCATCTCTAGGCAGAGCAATAGCCCTTGTGTCTAGTAGCCATTACAGTGGTACCTCAGGTTACATACGCTTCAGGTCACAGACTCCGCTAACCTAGAAATAGTGCTTCAGGTTAAGAACTTTGCTTCAGGATGAGAACAGAAATTGTGCTCTGGCAGCGCAGCAGCAGCAGGAGGCCCCATTAGCTAAAGTGGTGCTTCAGGTTAAGAACAGTTTCAGGTTAAGTACGGACCTCCGGAACGAATTAAGTAATTAACCTGAGGTACCACTGTATCCGTCTTGTCTAAGGAGAATACCTTTATCCTCCACAATTTTGTCTAACCCTCTTTTAAAGACATCTAAATTCCTCCAACCTTTTCAGCATGGTTCTTTTTAGGGGTGCTAGCCTCAGTTTGATAGTTGGCCCACTGATGTTGATGGACATGAGTAGCTAAGGTTCAGGTCTACTCTGAGTGGAGCTTGATGGAATACAACTCTTTGCTTTTGCTTTTGTGCCTTTCAGCAGAGAAAGTCGTACCTGGAGCGGAGTGTGAAGGAAGCTGAAGATAACATCCGGGAAATGCTGATGGCTAGAAGAGCACACTGAGGGTTTCATCCCCACCACTGCCTGCCCCTTACCTTTGGACTGAACAGTTGGAAGCCAAGCATGTTTGAAACCTTGCAATATAGAACTACCTGTTGAAGACACAAGGAGCTTGAGTTATGTCATGTCAAACCCTCCCTGTATTTTGGTGCACCAGTAAATCCTTTCTGTGTTACATAATGTGGTTGCCCGACCTGTCCTGGGTTCTCTGTTAACATGGACATTTTTCAGACGCCTCTTCTGTTGTCCCGCATCTGCATTATTCTAGTTTCAACTTCCCACAAATTTTTCTGTTGAAAACCGAGCTGTAGTTCAAGAATAAGGCCTGGTCAGCCTTGGTCTGTTCTGCACCATCAGCAATAAGCACGAGGTCTTTGCGGAAAGGAACTGGTGTTTTGTTTGTGCTCCTGAATGCCATGCTTATGCCAGTCAATCTGGGATTAACCTAATTCTGGTTACACGGGGGTGTGTGTGGGGGGAAATAGAAGCAGAACTCCTGTTCAGAGTGCTAGGATTCATTCTTTCCGCTTGCCTCTCCCTGTAGAAAAAGGTGTGCAGGGCAGTTAATGTCTAGGGACCAGGAACACTAGGAAAAGCAGTACATAGGAACTGGGGGAACTGGATGTACACTGGCTGGATTTTGGCTTTCAACAGGATCGTGTTTTGGTGTGGCAAAGCTTGAAGGGGGGGATGGATTCCACAGTCGAGGCGATTAGGATGGTGGGAGTGGTTCATAGTTGGCATGGCGCAGTCGGAGTGCCCTTTCAGTGGGCAAACAAGCAGCTTGTTGCTGTGAAAGACGCCCATAAACCGTTGCCAAAAATATACCAGGACTCTGTAACATTTGCAGCCCTTAAAGGGTAAGAGGAGGATGTCATGCTGCTGCCACCTTGTGGCTGATATCTGTACCATGAAGCCTGCTTCCCCCATTTTATCCTCACAACAACTTGGGTAGATTAGGCTGAGAGACAGTGACCCAGAGAAATACTGCCTCCTAGCTGTCCTAACCTGAAACAGCTCCTGTTTTATCCATGTTGACAGTGCCCCATTGAAAATGCCCCTGCTCCAAGCTTGAGTTAACACAGAAGAGACCAGTTGAGGACAGTATTTCTCCATCTGTAAATGGCAGGGACACTGAGCCCTCACTTCTGGGGAGATGGGAAGATTGTGCTCAACTTTCACTTTAAGTAGACCTGTTGATCTTAACTGGCCCAACTTAGTCACACTAATTAATTTCAGTGGGTCTGCTCTGAGTAATAGGTATAGCAGTTACAATCTTATCTGTCCCTGGCAAAAATCTTACCTAGGGTACAGCACCATCATATTTTTTACACACACACACACACACACACACACACACACACACACTCACTCATTGCATATCAGGCTGTATTCAGAGTTTAAATTGGATTATGCTAAATCTAGTCTGTTCTGGGAAGAAACCAAGTTATAGTCAGAACTTGAAAAATACTCCAAGCTCAAGGTGAGCCCATAATTGTCCTTCACCCAATGCTTCTCTACAGCCCTCCAGAAGGTATGAATAGCAGTATTAAGCCCTGAGTAGAATCGATTTTAAACAAAAGGTTGGGCTGAGGGGAAAAGGGGAGGGGTCTGTTGGCACACCGTTGTGCGTTGGGAAGACCTACTGTAATCTGGATCCCTTTCGGTCTCCCTGCTGGGGTTCAGGTTCTTGAGTCAAGCTGCCTTTTGCTTACTTCTCTGCAGGAATTAGAATTTCTCCAGTTACAGGCTGCTGCTAACAGATCACTAAACAGAAATATTGTCTGTGTGGAGACATCTGATGCTGCCATCTTCTGGTATAAACCCAGTTTTAATCCAGTTAACAGATTCTGGCTGTACTTACTAAGTCTAGGCAAGGTAAACACTGACAATCCTATTCAGACAACCCTCTAGCCTGTACCAGCTGGTCCCTTCCAAACATGGTTGGACTACAACTCTCATCATCCCTGACCACTGGTTCTGCTAGCTAGGGATTATGAGAGTTTTATTTCAACAACATCTTTGGACCCAGAAGAGGGTGGCATGGGAGTGTTGTGGGCGTAATGACACACTCCACTGACAGAATGACCCGGAACCAAACCCCTGTGCAAAATGGGGATTGCCTTTATGTATAATACTTGACATAGCAGAATAGGAAAATAATTTAAATTATTCTTCTGCAATATCTGAATTATCTGTAATTAAATTCTTCTGCAATAGCTGAATTCTAAAGAGTCCACTACAGTGCCATCTTTGCCCTTCCTTGAGGGTTGTAGCCAACAGGTGATAACAGAAGCTCCTGGCCTTCAACACTTTGGGTAGAGAAGCTTGTTGGAGGCACCGGTGGAACAGGACTGGTTCCATCCGTTTGCTCAGTTGCTGCACACAGGGGAACACCTGAAAGTGCATTACTGAGCATCAGGCCTTGGTGAGGAGATATTAGTGCACACAGAAGGCATGAACCAGATGTTGTCAACCCTTCTTGGTGCTCCAAACAGGTTCTGGGAACACTTGTGTAATTTTTTTTTTAAAAATCCTATCCATGTTCCTCTTTCTGCGATCAAATGCAGCACAATGCTTCTGAGGAATTTTCATTTCAAAAGAGGCTAGTAAAAGCTGAAGTGTTGTGCTCCTGTTCATGATTGGGCCAGAGCGGGAGAACGAATGGAGACCCTGCTGAATCCCTGGCAATGGTGCCATGGGAGTTTTTGCTTGCTTCTGATACCAGCTGGTGTTGGATTGCCATCTCAGAGATTGCTAGCTCCCCCTGGTGGCAGCTATCTGATAGCAGCACTTTTGTTGCATCTCTGTTGGCTAGTTAGTACTTAAAACTCTCCTTAGCTCCTCATTCTCTAGCTGTCCAGCCAACATCTACACCTTCTGAAATATTGACTGAGAGACTGCAAAACTGCTGAGATATTTTTAGTTTGCTTCCTGGAAGGGTAAACAAAACATTTGTGCTTCTGAAAACCAAGCTTGTATTAAAATTTAATTTAATATAATTTAAATGTAATTTTTTTTAAAAAAACCTGTCTAGAACCAAGAGGGAGCTGTAGATTGGCACCATGTGTTTTCTCTCTGTGTGAGAAAGACATGGGGGTGTATTTACTGCACAAGTGTTCACACCAATTTAGATTTTATTTCTTCCACCTTTGGTAAGTTTGAGGGACTCTGTGCAGCCTTGTTTTCTTTTGGAAAACAATATATTGAAGGTTTCCTTTGCAGTGGCCTATTTGACACAAGGCACAGGTGGAGCAGGTAAGCAAGTCACACACACGCCTGGGCGAGGACTAAAGTAATGTCTGTCCAATAGCCACGGACCTTACTGTAACTTCATTGCCCAACTGTCCTCTAGCTGCTCTTCTCAGCAGAAAGTCTGACAGATTTATGGTGCTTTAAATATTCATATTCCACTGTTCCATGCTAATATTATGATCCACAAAGCAGCTTAACATGAGTATAAGCATGAAGCAGATAAAACTGGCTGCGATGCGATTCCAAGAATTTACAATAGTGAGTAGTCTGTTTCTAATTCCTGCTCCTTGCCTAAAAAGATTAGGCCACGCTACAGCCCCTTTTCCTAACATCATCTGTAGCAGTTGAAAGATTCCTGGGAAACATCTGAGAACATATTGAGCAATATGACAAGCCACCACAATCTAGTTCATTTTTTTTCCCTTACTAGGCTAAATTAATTTAGATGCTCCATTACCTGCCAAATGAGTTTTTGAAAAATGCCCACTCTCAAGTATCCATGTATTTCAAAGGCATAGTCTTTCAATGCCAAATTGCTGAGCAACCCCCACCCCTGATTATTTCAAATACATATTACATGCAGGGACGCGGGTGGCGCTGTGGGTAAAACCTCAGCGCCTAGGACTTGCCGATCGCATGGTCGGCGGTTCGAATCCCCGCGGCGGGGTGCGCTCCCGTCGTTTGGTCCCAGCGCCTGCCAACCTAGCAGTTTGAAAGCACCTCCGGGTGCAAGTAGATAAATAGGGACCGCTTACCAGCGGGAAGGTAAACAGCGTTCCGTGAGCTGCGCTGGCTCGCCAGATGCAGCTTGTCACGCTGGCCACGTGACCCGGAAGTGTCTGCGGACAGCGCTGGCTCCCGGCCTATAGAGTGAGATGAGCGCACAACCCTAGAGTCTGGCAAGACTGGACCTTACGGGCAGGGGTACCTTTACCTTTTACCTTTATTACATGCAGGCATAATATACTCTGGTGGCACACTTTAGCTCAACCTTGTCTTTAAGTTCTTGCTTGATACCCGTAAGTGACGAGGAACTGCATGCTGGTGAGGATGTTGGGCTGTCCTCCCTTGTGCTTGGCACAGAAGGTAAGCCAGCTGCCATGGGAAGGACACCCTCTCCTCCTCTAGTCCACAGCAGGCTTCAGAACATTTCCTGCAAGCTAGTAATTTTTGTGGGCTTAGAAAAATGAATCTGCAAGATCTGCAGCTTGACAGCAAAAACATTTAAGGTCCATTGGACTTGAGAATGTATTTGGCAAGGAGGTTTAAACTGGGAGAAAGGAAGGGAATCTTCCTTGAGCCTTTGGTAGATTCCGCACAAATTTCAAATATTTTTCCAGCAAACTTAAGGTAGGAAAAGGGTGTTAAGTTCTTCACAGTATGTAGCCCTGCTATTCAGTTAAATACATCTGAAGCAGCTTAAGCAGAGGCTAGCTTCCAAAAGAGCTTTTGTGGAACAAACAGGCAACTATTGGCATTTCTATCTTTGGATGCCCTCTAAACACACACAGAATAACAAAAACTGACCGATACTCTTCATATTACTGGACCCAAATCTTTATTGAGCCCAATTTGTTAAACCAGAAGTGGAAGCAAGTAAGAAAAACAAACAATGATTGGCTTAAATTATTGCATATTATTCCATTTCTAAGAATGGTAAAAATTATAAATACATAATTTGTAGTAAAAGCCTTTTTGCCAAAAAAAAATATTTAGCACATTCTTTAAAGAACCACAAAGTTGTAGAAACAATGCTATAAAGACGTGGGGGGAAAGGGAGGTTTTCCTCCACTAAAACTAAAAAGTGCATAACCAACATCACGGTGCTATCTCTAAGGCAGGCAGGTGTTTCTGTCGCCTGTGCAAAGCAGATTTTTCATTACAGTACTAAAAAAGCAGTTGAGAAGATCAGAGGGAGAGGAGGGGGGAGGAGGAGGAGGAAGAGAAGGAGGAGGAGGAGGAGAAGAAGAAGAAGAAGAAGAATGCATAGCACTCCAAGTCAGAGGTACTGAGGCTTGGCTTCTCAGGGCACTCAGGTCAGCATGTCCCAAAGGCAGCAGCAGCACAGCGCAGTCCAACACGCTGTCAGGCAGGTACTTTCGGCAGAGTTATCCCTTCGCTGCTCTTCCACAACATACACTGGGAAGAAGAGAAAAACACACGTCAGAGGGGCTGCACCCAGTTGTGACGCATCACCCACCATCACCCACAACCCAAGAAGAGGCCTGCGGCCAACTTAGACTTTATTTACACAACTGTTCTCCCACGGCTAATGATGCTCAGAGGGTCGTGGGGCTCAGTTTTGCCCAACATGAATTTGCCATGCTGCTTGCAGGTAACGTGGAGAGAGATATATACACAGAGAAGCCTGGAAGTTTCTTGAATGTTCATCTTGCACATTAAAAAAAAATTAAGTATCTCACTCCTTTACTAATGTAGAAGGGTAAAGGTACCCCTGACCGTTAGGTCCAGTCGCGGACAACTCTGGGGTTGAGTACTCATCTCACTCTATAGGCTGTTTGTCCACAGACAGCTTCCGGGTCATGTAGCCAACATGACTAAACCGCTTCTGGTGAACCAGAGCAGGAAACACTTTACCTTCCCGCCGGAGCGGTACCTATTTATCTACTTGCACTTTGACGTGCTTTTGAACTGCTAGGTGGGACCGAATAATGGGAGCTCACCCCGTCGCGGGGATTCAAACTGCCAACCTTCTGATCGGCAAGCCCTAGGCTCTGTGGTTTAGACCACAGTGCCACCCGCATCCCTAGAAAGGTGGTACTCTACCCAATTAAATAGCAGAGTAACCCTTCTCTTGCGTTCCAGAATTCTAACCAATGAAAGCAAAAGATGCTGGGATAACTGATAGGCACCTGGGTATTCTTAAAAACAGTTCCACTAAAACTAATACAATTAATAAACAATTTAACATTGATTTTTTACTCTGTGTTGATCACCCTTTTGCGCTAAGGATCATTTCCCAAAAAACATTTCTGCCTTTGTCCTTGTGGGGCCTTCCTGAATTTGGCAAATGCCTGGAGGAAGGCGATCTCAATCAGGGCAGGCTGAAACTAACCAAACAGGTTTGTCTTGAAATCTATCTGGACCTTGCTTTGTGTTGCTAGCCTGAATGGATGAGGAGAGTCTAGCAAATGCCGTTTGTGTTTGTCTGCACACAGAGAACACACTGTTTTGCTAGGCTCCAGCATCAGCCAGACCCGACAATGGCTCCATTCTCGACATCCCCATTGCTTCTTGCCCACACGGCCACCGACACCTCAGTGTTACTGTAGGACATTCCTCATAGTCCTCCTTGGGTGTGCGAAAGAATATCCACCCCCCTTCTCTCTCCCCATCTGTGAATGGAAGCTATTTCACAACATCTTTAAAGATGTGCAACATCTTTAAACTTGGGACCAGGTATCTGAAGGATTTGATGTAGTGTATACCCTCCTTCAGGTACCCTGGGCAGAGAGGGTCTTTCCAAAGACAGCTCCTAGATCACAGAAAGCGCTTCCCAGGGAGGCTCCCCCAGCGCCTATGTTTAATATCCTTTGGGTGCCAGGTGAAGAGCAAAGTACTTTTTACCCTCCTAGGCCAGGGGTTGCCAAACTAAAGCCTGGGGGCCGGATGCGCCCCCCTGGCTTGTAAATCCAGCCCATGGACCCTGCTGCCCACTTGGTCAGTCCCCGAGCGCTGTGGACGCCTCGCCACACTGACTTCTGCGATACTGGCACGGCTTCTGGGAGGGTGGTGACGCTGGCGCAGCTTTGGATTGCCTGCAGGAAGCTCCTGCAGCCAATCTGAAGCCTCACTGCCCGTGAGGTAAATCTGGCGCAGCCATGGACAGAGAGGTGGGCCGCGTGGGCATCGTGGGTCTTCAGCCGGAGCTTGGTGCGCCTACTGGCCTTGCACCCGGCGCCCGGCTTGGTGCTGGAGGGTGAGCTGCCCACCACCTGCCCGGCACTCCACGTGCGTGGCCTGCCTGCTGACCTGGCCTCGGATGATGGAGCGGCTGCTGCTCGTCAACAACGGCGGTGCCGAGACATGCTCCTGAGCACGTGCAAAGTGCGTTCCTCCTCCAGGTCCGGAGGCAGCTGCGGGAACGGCTTGCAGGGTATTTGTATTTTTCAAAATATCGTCCGGCCCCCCACAAGGTCCGAGGGACAGTGGACCGGCCCCCTGATGAAAACGTTTGCCACCCCTGCTCCTAGGCCTTTCAGAACTACATTGGGCAAGGAAAGGCAAAGGGGTAGGGGAGGGAGAACTCAAGGCAGAGGTGCTACGCTGAACAACACGCAGCCAGGCTGGTGCCAACTGGGCAGGAGGGATGGAGCCGCATCTTCCACATAGACTGGTGTGCTCTGCCCCCCCCAACCTGAAGGAGTGTCATGGAACAAGAGGACTTGGGATTCAAAGCTTTCCCCAGTCCATCCCAACATGCCTCTCCCCCCTCCCTCCTGCCAGAGGCCCAATGGCACAGGGGCAGGCACAGGTGTTTGAGACCTGCATGGGTGGATCTCCCTCTCTGTCTACTAGGCTTTATTTCACCCGGGTTCAAGACCCAGTTTGGCACCGCCCCCATGCATTTGCACAGGCACACCCAGGCTGGGAGCCTCCCTGGTGCCCCACTGGAGGCTTCACCCAGGACAAAAAACCTAGCTATTCCCTCCGTAGCTACAGCTCTGCTACCCCCCAACTGAGTTTGCCAGTTCATTGGGACCTGCAAGGGAGTCTCTGGGACAGGACTTTATCTGTGGCCACACTCAGACTATAAAACTCTAAGTCAAGGGAGACTCCCCACTCCCCACAACTAGGTAAAACTCCTCTTTTTCAGCAAGCTTTGACAATCTTAGCTGAGGAGTTTCACATTAGAAATGCAAATCATCTCGCAAAGAAGTACCATTTAAACTGCTGGATCGAATTTCCATATCGTAAATTAAAAGTGTTTGCAATATGTTTATTATTATTTAATATCCACAATCAATGCATTTAATTAAATATATATCATTAAATACACAATAGTTTTAATATAGTCCATTATTAAACAAATTTAATACAGAAACAAATGTTCGTGTTTTTGTTAACAACGTACGACACAAAAATATTTTTTTAAGGCTTTAAAATGCTGCTTCTTGAATACTGCAGCCCACAGACCCATCCTGCTAGACCCTCCTGCTTTGACCATCTTTGCTATTTAGTTCCTCACAGTTGGAATTGAAGAAAAGCTTTCATAATGTCTCTCAGGAACTGCAAGGGTTACAAAGACAATCAAACTCCACCCCCTCATCCTTGATTTTAAACTGGGCTCTTGGCTTGCCCAATTGATTAGCATAGATAAGGTAACTGAGCAAACATTCTCAGTGACTGCTTGGCTTCCTCTTATCTTAATAACTTGGAAGGCTAATCCCTTACAAAGGTAAAACTTGAAAGCCTTGTTACCACCTCATTCACTCACCACAGCAAAAAGAGCCTCATAATTGTCCCCGAGTGGTTTTGCACACTTCAAACAATTTTGGAAGCTGTCCTGGACATTGCAGGAAATTAATATTTATTAAATAAAGTAATCTCCAATTTGGAATAACGGAGTTTGGAAAAACTGCCAGCAAAAGCAAGCTTTGAGATATGGAAATACATTTACAGAACGGCTGTTTTCTCCCTAAAGATGAAGGGGCCATCCCTTTCCAACTTCCTATGGTAAAATCCCCACCCCATATGGCACAACTGCTCACTATGGAGTGTGTGTGATGGCACACAAGCTGAATGAGGAGACTGGGGGCAACACAGCCACGAATGTGGGGAGAAGCACGAATGTGGGGAAGACGCACAGTCCTGGGCTTCTCAGTGCTTGCACTTGGGCAAAGAAAAGAGGGTGGGAAATAAAAATTGCAATTCTAGGGCAGCACTTGTGCTCGTTCAAGTGCCTCTCTGACCAGAGGAAGAACAGGCATCCTGGACACTCTGGCCGCCTCTTGGCTCTTAGGGGAGAAAGAAGATAAAAATAGCCTCAAAGTGTGACTAACTAGTTCCACAATTAGACGCAACTCCATTTAGAAATAAGTAAGGGAGCATTCCGGATTGGAAAAAAGTATGTTGGGTGGGTCTACAGCATTTTGATCTTTGTAAAGTCAGCAGGGGCCGGGAAGGCAGTCAGGAGATTCAAACATTGCACAAAGACAATAACAGCTTAGAGAGATCTTTGATCTGAGGCTGGGAGGCTGAAGGATTCCTAGATACAACAGGCAGTAAAACTTCATTGCAGAACACAAGCTGATAGCCGGCTCTGTTTCCAATGGGAGCGTTTTGCAAGATCACACACTGGGGACAAAGGGGAGCTCCTGCTCTCTTCTCTCTCGGCCCAAGTGCTCTGTTGAAACAGTGTCACTCTGGGCTCAGAGACTATGCAAGCTGCCACTTTTAGTGACGTGGAACCAGATGCAAACAGATGTTTCACTCCTGTAAAGCAGGCAGAAAATCTGAAAGGATTCAAAGAGCCCAGGGGTTACTGGGGGAGGGGGAGAGCCTTGGGCCCCCTCAAAGCTGCTGTGCACAATGTCCGTTCATCCGCAGCCACTGGCCATGCTGGCTGGAGCTGATGGCAACCAAAGCATGTGGGCCAAGTGACAGAAGGCAGTGGGAACTCCAAGATTTCCAGACTTTTTTTGTTTACAGTGGCACCTCGGCTTAAGTACTTAATTCATTCCGGAGGTCTGTTCTTAACTTGAAACCGTTCTTAACTTGAAGCCCCACTTTAGCTAATGGGGCCTCCTGCTGCTGCCGTGCCGCTGGAGCACGATTTCTGTTCTCACCCTGAAGCAAAGTTCTTAACCCGAGGTAATATTTCTGGGTTAGTGGAGTCTGTAACCTGAAGCGTATGTAACCCGAGGTACCACTGTACTTCAAAATTCCTCAGGGTGCACGTCAGCACTCCCAAACTCGCTATTTGCAAGATGAGGTGGGGACTGGAGAAACATACAGTAACCCTCGGTTAGAGGTTCCTGAGAGAGAACAGTTTTTCTTAATCTGAGTGAACATTTAAGAAATTGCATCTTAAATATGAAACAAAAACATTTTGATAGGCTGCCCCCCCCCCCCGAGCCGTTTCTCCCTTCTATGCGTTTCTTCTCCTTATTCTTACCTTGCCGACCCCCACTTACTAGAGATGAACCTGGGTGTCACTGGCATACTGACTCTCATAGCTCAAATCTTTGGAGCACCACACTCCAATGGTTTCGAGACAATGTTGAGCACCTAACGGTTGCCATGACAACCATGAAGTATTGATACCCTCCGGTTGAGACAGGAATACTGAGGCCTCCCAGAGCCTTTACTACTAAAATCCTCAACATAAATTCTGGGACTATCCCAGTCAGGTAAGGGAGGAAACCTGCTCAGTAGCAGGGGAGGAAAGTTCACCATCGGAACCCACGATCCGCCACAAGTATCCATCACAAGGTAGGCAGGGATGCTGGAGAGCAAAGAAGGGCTCCCTCTGGATGACCACCAGACCACTTGGCCCTTTGCTTTTGCTGAGCCAGAAAGAGTGGCCCACATGTCCCAGCCCACGTGCCCAGGTCTCAGTAATGCAAGCTGGTTACACCTGGTGGGATGGGGTGGTCTTGGATTAAAGTACGTGCGAGCAAGATCTCATTATGGAATGACCCGGCATTTAATAGCACCACCAGCTGACCTTAGAAGCTGGTAGAACTCAGGGATACTGTGGCTGAGGGCAAGTCCAGAAGACAAAACAGGCATCAAGTGTCTCACCTGCCCTTTCCTTCACCTGGTAGCTCAACACCTGCTCTTGCCCCATTTTGACCTCTCCCCCCACCTAAAATCATTTATTCGGGTGCCTTCTTCTCCACCCTTCCCAATTGTTATCAGTTTATATACTGTTTAATTGCCAAAGTGGATTCTAAGCTGTTTACAAGCATAAAAACGATTGCAAAAAGAAACACAAATACTCATTACTAACACAAACTCTAAAACAATTGCACCAATTGCACTAAAATAAACATCCAGAGTTAAATTGTATGGCACACCTGTTCCAAACCATCTCACCACACCAATATATTAAAACAGTAGCAGAAGCCAATAAGTGAACTAAGAAGTTGTTGAAATGCACAAAAGCAAGACTTTTGAGCGCGCACTTTGCTGGCCAAAAGTTGTTGATAAAACTTGCAAGGCCTCTCACCTGCAGCTAATTCTGCTCCAAAGCCCTGTCAAAAACTTTACACTTGCTGCACCCCTGAAATAAAAAGGCAGTGCGTGTGGCTCAGCCCCTGAAGCTGGAGGCAAGCGAAACGTGATCCTGTGCCAACAGCCACTGTAACAAGAGCTCAGCTCGCATGCTCCAAAACAACTTGAGGACATTTGGAGAAGGAGAGTTGCTGCTTTGCATAGGTCAAAAATATATATTGCACAGATCGTTCCAACCATATTCTCCAACTGCCACCATCCGCATTGTCCCTCTGGTCCATCTGCAAAGGTTCTTGCCCAGTCTCAAGCCCCTAACTGGTCCCCACCCCCTTTTAAACTATGGAATAGACTAAAGATCTTTCAACACAACACCCCACCTATTGGGCCAGGCAGTTGTAATCTTAATCTGGGCTACAGGGAAACAGACCCTGGAAAGAGAAGGGGTAGCTTGGCAGGCAGAGGTAGCTGAGGCAAAGATCATTTTGGGAGGCTGAAAAGGCCATAGGGTGAGCTGAAAGCAATAGAACTTTACTTTGTGCCTTCTGATTGGCTGTATTTGGCCCTCGTAAGAGAAGGAAGCAAGGTGGCAACTCAGCCAAGGCCTCTCAATAAATCAAATCTGGGTCATGTCAGGGTGCCTGGGCTCTGGACCCCTCCCGGTCCCATGCAGGCAGATGGGCCACTAGCCAGAAAGAGGACTCAGCAAGCAGGTATTTTCATTGTTCTGGATCAATCAACAAGGGTTTTAATGGAATCATTTAATTGCAGAGTTGGAAGGGATCCCAAGGGTCATCTAGTTCAACTCCCTGCAATGCAAGAATCTCAACACATGGTCTCCCATCCAATTTGAAACCATAGCAGACTCTGCTTAGCTTTGCAAATGTGCTAGCAGTTTTGAGAATTCCGATTCTGAAAAGTGTAACTCCTCCAGAATTTTCTTGGGTTTTTTGTCTTCCTATAGAAGCAGCATGACATAATCCAAGAGTATGGGCAGCAGCATCCCAGCAAGGGCTGCTGCCTGTGTGTGTTACAGTTATCACCAAAACCTCACCGTGGACATGCCTGGGTCATGCAGGTGCTTTTTTGCACAATGAACCCAACTCACATTATGGGCTGCTTTAGTTGAATTCGGATTCCCAGATCCATCCCAACTGGTGTGTGTTTGGATTTGTACCACCCTGTCAGAAGTGGTTACGGTATGCCCCTACCCTTTGCAGCCAGACTCCCTACTCCATCACAGGGCCAGGGTTTCAGGCTACGGAATAGCATTATTACAGCTTACCTTTTTATATCACATTAGCATATTGCCCACCTATAACACTGACTTTCCTAGGGAATGTGATGAAAGCCTCAAGCCCCCAACCCCAAAATACATGCAGCAGTGAGAGACTTGTGTCAGCAAGATGCACATCTGCCCCATCATGTCTACCAGAAGGCAGAGATGTGCACAATGCCTACTGACTGCCCCAGTAGAGGGGGGGGGGACCCTGAAACTTCTCACATTAGCCTGTAGTCCGTCCTTCTCCCCTCCTGCCCACTCCCAGCTAGGTCCCCACAGTGTGCTAGCCTGGAAGGCAGGAGAGCTGCAGAAGGGAAAGCAGCGTGCCAAGAGGGTTCAGCACCCTTCTACTTGGGGCAAATTGCAGCCCCCCACAAACACGCTTTGGATGTTGTTGCAGCAGATGCATGTCTGAAGATGCAGAGTCTGCTGCCGCCACCACCCACCCTTGGCCCAGCACACAAGGCAAGCCTGGAGTTGGCTCCTCCCTTAAACTATTTGGGTTCTACATATTTTCCTTATGTGGAGACAAAGCCCAGAAGCTGCAAGTAGCCCAGCTAGGAGGGAGAGCAGGCATATGGGGCATCTGTAGCAGGACAAACAAGGTGCAGGAACCTATTGCAACGCTCTCCCCACGCAAAGGAGACCCCAGGCAACAGACAGAACTGGGAAAGGGATCTCTTGAACTATAGACCAAACACAAAGGAGGAGGCTTTTTGTTGGCTGGTGTCACTCACTATTGGCAGAAATGTGGAAAAAGTTGGAAAAAGGCTGAGGAACAAAAACTCTTCATTTGGCTGAAGTTTGTGCTGCTGATGTGAAGCTACTAACACAAGATGCAACAGTTGTAATAACTTCACTGATTATGTGCAGAATCTTGCAAGACTGAATTTCAGCTCACAACCTTGCTTTTAATTGCTCTTAACATCATTTTAATATCAACTGAAGACTCCTTAGTATTTATTGTCTTAATATGATTGATGTTAGTATTTTGGGGGAGCAATCCTATAGCAAGATTAGTAGCCCTGGGGATGAACAGAGTTCAGATCTGGTGTAACGTTACACTGGCTTGCTTTGTGCCAGCTTCTTGTGTACCTTAGGCTGGGTTTTAATTTGAGGCAGTTTCTACATCAAATGTGTTAAGCGATCTTTGTGTTGGCAATTGTTTAATTCTTCTGTGCTACTTTGGATTTAATTTGGATTTTGATAACATTATGGTTATGTTTTAAACTTTGTTTTATTGAGATTGTATATTATCTAGAGAATTCCGGATGAGGCAGTCAAGAAATACTCATGAATATTTTTAATTATAAAAGTAACATATTTGTTCACATTTTGGACCAGGCCCAAGGCAAAAACACTACCTCCATGAAAGTGGAAGGCACTCACCTCTGCATATCAGAAGGATCTCACCTCACCTGTGAGAATCCTGAGAACTGAAATTTGCAAGCCATGCAGCCCTTTGTAGCCAGGCCCAAAGCTCAGAACTACCACTCTAGAATCAGTTACTTTCCTAAAACCAATAAAGCAGATTCTTCCTAGAAACTCACCGAGCCACTTATGGCAGCGGATATAGTTAAAAACTTCCTACCTGGAGTCCTAAAGGCAGAAAAAACACTTCTGAATCCGAACCACTGCCACTCCCACCACCTTGTAAGTTCATTATCTAATCAGCTGCAGAGAAAAGAGCGCTATGCTTAATCATCTCTGGGTGTTGAGACATACACCAGGTACCAGTCCACACAATGTAAACAATATTCACGGGTGTGTTTTTTTTATTTAAAAAACTGCATTACCTTTGTCTTACTGCAGAGACCTTTATCTTGGGTACACACATTTGGTTTCTGCCCATACTGGATGATTAGCTAATGATTAACCTAAGAAAATTGATTTTTAGAAATGTTCCCTTGTACTGTGAAAAGTTAGATGCGCCTGGGAAGCTGGATCAGCTTAGCCAATGCAAGTTGCAAGAAAAGAGGCTCTTGGAACAAAACCATCGACTTACCTAAAACAGGAAATAGCCATTTGTCCGAATAAAATAAAAAATAAATTAATTCCCAACTTTATGGGGCAGCCTAATTATAGGACTGGCACTGAACATCTGCTTTGTTTACCTACAGGAGAAAGCTCTTGGGAAGGAACACTCAGATTACTAAGCCTTTTTACTCACCAAGCTCCTCCTTCCAAGCAAGGCAAGGCACTGTGCTCAATGGGGAGTCAAAGTTCCCCCTTAGCTACCAGAAAATAATAACGTAAGCGGGGGGGCGGGGCGCAGATTAGTGTCTCCTCTATCAACAAACACCTGTTTAACAGGCACACACTCCAGGGATTTTCTTTATAAATGCACAATTCCATTCTTGGGTCACTCTTGAACCTACCATGTGGGACTCCAATTGCCACCAGGAGATATGAAGCTGTGTTTTCTCCAGTACTGTCCAGGGTGCAAACTGCCTTGCTTCTGTACTGGTTGAAATTACAGCAAAGTGGGGCCATGTGCCCTATTTTACAGAGGACAGTCCTCTAACAGGAAGTGGGGGCTGCTCAAGTTCACTTTAAATATAAAGGTAGAAAGGAAGAGCATGGACGCGGGTGGCGCTGTGGGTTAAACCACAGAGCCTAGGGCTTGCCGACCAGAAGGTTGGCAGTTCGAATCCCTGCGACGGGGTGAGCTCCCGTTGCTCCTGCCAACCTAGCAGTTCGAAAGCATGTCAAAGTGCAAGTAGATAAATAGGTACTGCTCTGGCGGGAAGGTAAAACATTTCCATGTGCTGCTCTGGTTCGCCCCGGAAGCTGTATGCCGGCTCCCTCGGCCAGTAAAGCGAGATGAGCGCCACAACCCCAGAGTCGTCCACGACTGGACCTAACGCTCAGGGGTCCCTTTACCTTTAGAAAGGAAGAGCAAGGGATTTGGAGCATATGGCACACACAGTTGCCCCCCAAATGCTATTTGGGGCTGATTTATAAAGTTGGGGTAATCACTGTGAAACCCTTCCTTACATGTATGATGTCCTTACATTTCAGATGTTCTGAGGGTTGTCACCCCTATAGCTACAAATGGGTATTAAAGGGGGGGGGATCTTCTGTTAACTAGATGTTATCTTCAAACTATATCGTTTCCACCATTTCTTTTTTCTACTGAATCTGATCATGGTCTTCCAGATTACTTTTCTGAATTATCCATTGGTGCTAAAAGGAAAGCCATCTACAGCTTTGAGCTCCCATGCTATGCCCACAGTGGTCTGGTTCACACAGCACAACTTGGTTTGTCTTAAACCATGGCTTAATCATGACCACGCAGCTTCTGCCACTTGCAAAGGTTTGTTCTCGTTTTACTTCTGGCTGACTCAGGTCTATGGATGGATGGCAAGACCTACTCCGGCTTCCTTCAGCTGCACCAGGAGGGTGAGAAACCAAAAGGGCACGCAGAGGGCAGCGGAGAGGCATGTTCAATATTTAACCATAGTTTAAGAGAAAATGTGGCTGAATGAGGCAAATATATTTGGAGGGGAAATACAATGAATTTATGCATTTGTAGCTACAGTTTATATTCCCCCTGGAATGTATAATTCCCCTAGGAACAGGTTTTTGAAAGATTTTTTTAGACAGTTTCCTTTTTGAACTATAGCAAGAAAACCTGTTATTTACTGGTTAATAAAGATAAATATGTTACATACAAGCAACTTCCACTTTACACAGGGGATACGTTCCAAGGCACTGCACATTTAAGTGAAATCATGTATATCTGAAACACCATTGAAAAGCTTGCAAACACCCCGTTCCCCCCACCCCTTTTCTGACATTTTGGAGTCACTTCCCGGTTCGGCGCAATGCCCTTGTGCCTGGTCGTGCACATATCGGACGTGCCTAAAATGACTACTGCCTATACTGTATAAGATTTTTGTTTCCTCTAGCAGCCTAACAGATCAAACATTTATTGCATGAAATGGGCTGGGGATCACCCATGTCAACTTGGTTATTTCTAGTTTTGTAATGACTGGTTATTTCAGCTGACTGACTTGTTAAAGACAAAATGGCATGCACATTATTATAAGGAAAAACCAAATATACGATAAGAGTGGAGGTATTTCTCAATTATAAAAGCATCTTATTTGGCTTAGCGAGATAGAAAACTTACACACACAGTGTGAATGTTGCCAGAGCAACCTTACAAGTTGTTTTGTGCAAGATTCTACAAGAAAAAAGTCAACAATAGTAAACTACCCACACACCTGTAAGTTGTCCAGTGCTAGATTGTCTTGGCCTAAAGTGGCAAAAACCAACCTGTGCCTCCAGCACAAAAACAGATCCAGGAAACGAGCAGCTCTGAACTTGTTCTTTCAGGGAGAGTGTAAATCTAGCACAATACTTTACATTACACATGTGTTTATACACACACACACACACACACACACACACATACATTCTGGTATTTGTTAATATTTATTATTCAAATAATGTCTAGCTTTGGCAACAACTGCAGGGCTGTGCCACATTTATGTTTGTGGTGTCCAATTACGAATTGCTATTAAAAATGTGATATTATCAATGTGCCACTGATGTGAATTGTGCATTAGTTCATGTATTTTGGAAAAATAAATAGAAAGTGCAACTGCATGGGGGGGTGGGGTGGGAAGAGAGGCAACTAGCCATTCTGTTTTTGCACCTGTAACCCGGGTTCCAGGAGCCACGTGGCAAAGAGCTTTTCTCTCCCAGTTTCTCACACTGATTGGTCTCCGTTTCTTGTTGGAAAAGGCAGAGTAGAGAACTAGGAGTCCTGAATTGCCAGCAATTGTTTTCCTTTAAGCTGGAGATCAATCCAGGATTGCATAATTCCTTTATTGCATAATCTGGTTGGAGCCAGTTAAAATGTTATACAGATTAAGTTTCTGTTTCATGAAAATGAAAAATACAGGAGGCGGAAGGGGCAGGGGAGGAGAGACTGCAATCCCAGGTGTCTTCGTTTCTCTGCGCCTGTTTGACCACACAAATGTCACTTAAAATGCAACCTGTACGAAGCCAGCACGGAGTGCAGACAGACAGAACCTTTTCCTTTCTAAGAAGAGATGCACATGTTGTTGTTGTTTTAAAAAACCACAGCCCACGTGCCAGGTTAAACTAACTCTTCCAAGGCTGGATAAAAAACATGATGTGGCCTATTCCCATCTGGAAAGCAAGGATCATTGTAATTACAAGCTTTCCCCATAATTGTATTCTCATACAATGAAAGAATTGACCTGTTGAATTTATGTCTGCCACGTCCAGGAACTGTTTCCCCACAACACCAATCCTAAATCAAACTCTAGGCTGTCATCCTATACCCTTTAAATGCCTATTAAATACAAAACGACTTAATTCTGAGTTGATAGGTATGCCATGTGAATTCTCAGTGAGTGCTTAAGTTTCTCTGAAAAATTTTCATATTTGCCTTTTTGGAGGTTGGGGGAATTATTTAAAATTCACCAAGACTTATTGTGCAGTAGTATTTACAGAAAATATCTAGAGAGTACCTATTTTCAAATGAAACCACCACAGGAAAGAAGCATCCTGGTAAACAGGGAAAAAGGAAAGAAAGGCAAGCTACAGAGAAGTAAGGCAGAAGCAGGAAAATTACGCTAAAGGAGAGGACGAAACAGAACCCACCCCAGGGATTCCTTTCGCCTGGTGTTCAAACAACTTATCAATCATTCACTGGCTAACTCACTTAGGTTGACTCACTTCACAGAAAACACTTAGAAGGCCTGGAACCTGCACATTTTGCTTCATCCATTTCTCCTTAGGAGAGCTGGGAGCCTGCTTTCTCTATGCGAGTTCAGAGTCCAGGACCTTTGCTCAGGGCATTAGAGAAGGAAATCCTGGGTGCCCTGGGACCAGTGAGAACCAATTTGGCAGCCACTGGATTGTACAATGCCAAGACAACATTCCCTTTATTAAATATCTTCACTGACTGCTTGTATGCATATTTAAAATTATTTTAATACAGAAACACTATAAAATAACTTACATCATAATAAATAAACTCAGTGTTCAATAGAATTTTATACTATATTTGTTGTCCATTTTTCTTTTACTTCAATATACATTTAATAACTAGAATTTCAGCTATTTTACATAACTCCCCCCCCCAACATCAACGTAGGAGAGTTCCTTACTTCCCTAATTAGTTACTGCATAAATTCAAAAAGTAAGAGATATATAGGATTTCCGGGGGGACGGGGACGGGACTGTTTTCAACTGATTTAAATTTACTTTGCAAATTTCCAAAACCTTTCATGAATTAACTTTTGTGACTCATGGGGTGTCAAATAAAGGTGAAGCGCTGGCCTCTGATACCTCATGAATCACAAGGTCTGTACATTTCAAATTACTTCTGTGCTGCTTTTCTATTCCGAGGCTGCTAAAATGACAAAGACATGACAATAATATAGTAAAGTTAATGAAATTAGGATCACTACCAAGCAAAACCATGACACTACCAGCAGACAATCAAAAGTGTAAATGGAACACCTATTCTCTTCTACCTGATCATATTTCTGCCACATCAATCTATTCTCATTGATTAAAGCACAGAATAAAATAGGGCGATCCAAAAGATACCAAACCTGTTAAGCAATACAAAAGCATTTTAAGCATTACTGTTCATCCTTAAGCACAACACCTTTAACTAGCCCCAATCCTGAATGGTTTTCTAAATTTAAAAAGTTGCTCTAACATCTTATATGACTTTCTACCAAGAGAAACTGTTGTGCCAATATATTTGCAAACTTCACCCCAACTCCATCCCTTCTTTGTCACCGCAGGAAGATTATCTTCCTATGAATTATTGAACCTCTTGTTTCCCTGCAGTCAGTTTATAACCTGAGACTGCAATAAAATGAAAATGAGCTTTAAGGACATGTGGAACAGAGAGGCTTCGGAATGTGTTGCTGTAATAGCTAGCATTACACGTATAATTTTGTAATTAATAATTCCTGAAATACTGGAATCCTTCACTTAATGCCACATAGATATAGAAAGGAAAAGGAGTCCATTCTGTCAGGTCCTGTGCAAGCGGTCCTCCAGGCTGGGCCCTGGTCAAGGGTCCCAGGAGCTCAAATGGGCCCCTCACTGGCTCTGCCCCAACTGAACTCTTCCTACTGGGCTATGGGTGGCCAATAAATACACTGGCAGCACCACTTGTGAATGGAAGACGGAATAGAGTGGTATTATTACTTCCCTTGATCTGGATACTATACTTGATGCTGCCTAGAATAGCATTAGCCTTTTTTTGCTGCTGCATCACATTGTTCACTCATGTTAAGCTTGTGTCCCACCAAGACCCCTAGATCCTTTTCACGTGTACTACTAGTAAGCCAGGTGTCCCCCATCTTACATTTGTGCAGTTGGTCCTTCCTGCCCAAGTGTAGAATCTTACATTTGTCCCTACTGAAATTCATTTTGTTAGTTTGGGCCCAGTTCTCCAATCAGTTACGGTCATCTTGAATGCTGGTTCTGTATTTGGCGATTTTGGCTACCTCTCCCAGTTTAGTATCATCTGCAAATCTGATGAGCATCCCCTCAATTTCTATATCCAAGTTATTTATAAAGACATTGAACAACTGCAGGTATTGCCATTGGGCCACAGCTGGCAGATGACACAATGGACTTCAGGCATCTGGAACACAGGGAGGGTGTGGAGGTAGTAATTGAGGTGAGGGGACAGCAATTCACGGTATTAATACATCCCATCAATAATTTCCCACTAGTGTGGATGGGAAACACTGAGACAGTTTTCGATTGATAGCCCTCATGTATGGATGAACATGTGACACACACACACACACCGTTGGAAACACTGGAACTGTGCAAGCCATATCCACATTAACACTTCAGTGTGCGCACCGTCTATGGCTCTGTGCGCTGGCTGACTCTGCTTTTTTCACACATGCAGGCCAAGACCTGATGCTGCAACTGGTATTTAGACAGTAGCCTCCTCTGGGTTCTCTACACTCTTCTCCTGAACCTTTCTCCTTGCCTAGTTACCTGGGAGGGTGGTGGTGTAGCTGCAGGAATATGGGGCTTTCATTCCGGGAACTTTGAAGAGCACATTGCTCTTTTTAGAATGAAAGGGAAGTAAAGAGAGCCCGGCAGATTTTTACAGTGGAACCTTAAGGACAGGACTGTCTCAGGTAAACGTTCAGCTGCAGAGAAGGGAGAACTCAAGAGTCCAGACCTACAGACAGAGACAGAATGTGCAGTATGGGGGAAGAAAGTGGGGCTGGAAGATGACAAGCAGAGCAGACAGCCACCCACTGAAAAGAAAATGCACATTTTTGCATTCAACACAGCGCCTGGGCACATTTTTTGATGCACTGCCTAAGTACAGGCACTTTGTCGTGCCAGCAGCCACCTCCTACCCCCCCCCCAAATTTAGAGGGAAGATTGATGCAATGCCATCAACATACACAGCAGTAACAGAAACATAGCAGTGGGGGAAAGGATGTGATACAAACAAGCATCCCAGGTGTTGACAACCTGCATTTTGACAGCAGGAAAGACAGAGGGAGGAGAAGGGATAAATAAGGGCAGTTTGCACATGCAAGCAAATGCAATTACACATTTTTAGGCTGGGCATGAGGATTAAGTGATAAAAAACCTGTGCACACACTATACCTTTAAAGCTCATCATTTCCCTCAAAGAATTCTGAACACTGTAGTTTGCCCCTGCAGTTACAATTCCAAGCAACCCCTAACCAACGACAGTGCCCAGAATTCCTTGAGGATGTGCTTTAAAGGTGTGCTGCGTTCTTGAGAAGGTGAGTTAAAAGAGCTTTTTAACGATGGAAGAAAGAATCACACTTTTGCTCAGAGAAATAACTCTGAGAGATGTCTGGAAGAGGAGGACACATTCAGAAGACAGAGAAGAATGGGAAAAGGCAGGACCATGTTCTAAGGACAGGAAGTTTATGCTGGATGTTAATGAAAGGAGACAGAGTACAGAAAAAGTCAACAGCTTTGCCCACAGAGTTTGAGATAGGTGTGAAAAGATCTAGGTAGGGACACAGGAAGCCAGCGGAGAAGGTTGCAGAAGTCAAGGTAATGCATGAAGAGAGAGGAACAGCAGGATCTATTGAGCAGGAGTGTCTGGGTTAGAGAGGTAGCATTGGGCGTCCTTCAGCTCATCAGAGAAGAGACAATGTGGAGAACAGGCCTAGGAAGGAGCCCCAAGGAACCCCCCCAGAGAAGGGAGGAGCCTTTTCTTCAAGCCTGACACATGAAGTGACAGTAATGGCTACCTGGGATTTCACACAGGAGAGTGACTATTTCCCTCTATATGCAAAACACCCTCAGCTGAGGGATGACACAACCCTGGAAGTCCCAATATTACGCAGCCTCCATTGTTTCAGGAAAGACTTGTGTAGCGTTTGCAAGTCACATGAACTAATTTTAAAAGTTGCCTAATCTTCATATATTTAACTGCCTTATCTTCTATAATTTAATAGCCACTGAATTTGGGTTTGTTTTAAAGCAAAGAATCCCAGCCCATCCTCAAAAACACCCATGGAACGTGGAGTAGGCTGCTACTGTGCAAACACCAATGCGTTTGCTCTTCAGCATTCTCTGCAGTGACCTATTGCCACAGGGCCTGAAGAAAAGAGGAAGATACTACAGTATCTCAAGACAGTACCTGCCAGTCCAGGACAGGTAACAACCATTAAAATAGGTGTCAATGGTACCTATTATAAAAGGGGCTGGAACTTAATTTACAGAAGGATAGCAAATTGCTACGGTCAGAAAGTCACACATTTTACCATGTAACTACAGGTAAAGTGAAGCCAGTGGCCACCAACTTATTCTCCAATTATGGAGAACCATAACAGAAATATCTTCCTCTTTCAAAAGAACAAACAAGATGGAGCAGAGCACATGTACCCTCCTCCCAAGTTCACGTTGTTACCAAGCCCCTTTATTCAGAGGACTGGAACAAACATACACATTGCTTCAGATCTGTAACAGAAGGGGGAAACCTTCATGAAAAACCATGAAGCAGCGCAGCTCCATGCGTACAGCAGACAATATTACCTGTATTCTTAGGTCCATCTGCATAGACTGGTCCCGGAGGTGGAGGAGCATTCTGCCATCCATAGGCTGGGTAGCCTTGGTAGCCTGGCTGTCCTACTGGATATGGCCCTGCAGGCTCTGGTGCATAGCCAGGGTAGGGACCAGGAACAGGTGGTCCACCTGGTTGATGGGTGTAAGGTGGGTATGGGGCAGTTGGGCCCGGGCCAGGATATGGTGGAGGGTTTTCGTAGTTCATGTAGAATGCCAAGTGTTTCCTAAGGACAGAGACAGATTTTACTTTGACGTACATAAGGAACATGCGTTACCACCAGCCATTTCAACAGCAACTTTTGTATACAAAATACTTAATCGTGATGTCCCTCACAAACTGATCTCCTACCATAAGGCTCTCTAAGTCAGTCTAGTCAGTCATAGGTTTTACACAGTAAATCTCCCCAAGCAGAGCTGTGGCTTAGGCATGCAAATGTCTTGAGAGACACACAACATCAATGCATGATTGATGCCCAGGGTTATGCACACAGAAGAAGGCATGCCAAGGGTCTCTGCTTTTCTTTTTAAATTAGAGCAAATTCCTACCCACTAAGGTTGTACAAACAGGGTTCAGAAAATATTCAGACCATGACTGACAAGGACTCATGTGTCCAGTGATCAGATGTAGCGCATGAATGCTTTGTACAGAATTCTGCAACCCTTCCATGACTTTGCAGAAAGTAAATACTGCTGTTTTCCTGATACACAGAAGTCACAGAATTAAGTTTTGTCAAGCACATGATTTTGAGTATTATGATAAAGCACAAAACTTACACAGCCCAAACTATGCCCGACTCCAGGAGCCATTAGATCTAAATGCTAGTACTCTTTCAGGAAATATTCCAGTTCAATTTCAAAGCAGCAACCAAAATTTAAACATAATTAAATCAACGGGTATACATCTTTATACAAATATACATACACACATCATGGACATGGGAAGATATGCCCCCCTAATATAAATAAGTCAAATACTTCTTATGTTTTTCTAGTGGATGCAGAGATCAGCAAGGATCCAGAACAGGCAAAGGCAAACTCGGCCCTCGAGATGTTTTGGGACTACAACTCCCATCATCCCTAGCTAACAGGACCAGTGGTCAGGGATGATGGGAATTGTTGTCCCAAAACATCTGGAGGGCAGAGTTTGCCTATGCCTGATCTAGAAGATGCTACCCTGAATCTTACCAGGATTGTCCACACAGCTGTGAAGATGACTGCATACTATTTTAAAGCCTCCAAGCTCTGCAATATGTTCAGTTTGCAAATTAAGAATAACTAAACTGTCAGCACAAGCATTTACATTTCATCTCATGGAGAAACACTATTTTGCCTGGTGGCTAACAGCCCTTGCTTGTGAACATTTCTGAACACTTGGGCATGATCCTTCGCATGTTTGCTTAGGACTAAACTCAGCTTTTTGATCAATGGGAATTGCTTTAAATATATTTATGCACAGGAATGCAGTTAAGCAAACAAGCACTATTTACATTCCAGGCCTCCACCCCCATTTGACAAGCCCACAAACAAATAAAATGTTTTCAACTAATTGTACACGACGGCATCCCTACCAGAAAACAAGCAGAAATCGGTGTCTTGTCTCTAAGCAACAAAATTCTGCAGTCCTGGTGGACTATGTTCCAAGGTTGTATAAGCCATCTCTTTTGTTATATGAACCAGCATTTTTCCATTACAGCAAAGTTAGGATATTCCTGCCTGCTCAGAAAACTTGAGTTTCAAAATGGGAAGCATTATAACTTAATCCAGCCTTCAGCTGACTGTCATTCTCAGCCCAGGACCCTCCCTCGTCCTCTCGCCTGTCAAGTCATAGAGAAGAGAAGAGAGTGCAGCGCATCCTAGTTCATGCCTGTCAGACTGCAACTCCCCAGGGCACCATCTAGCCGGCCAGGTCTACTCCCCTAAGATGAATGGCATCATGCACAGGGGCCAGGCGGCCTCCTGGAAAGCTGCTTCTTCCCTGCTCTTGCAAGGGCTCTGCGTCCTCTCTTAACGCAGCCTTGCAAATGGTCACCGTGTGCCTGGACTATGTGGGTATCGCTTTTGAGCAAACACCGAGCTGAGCTGCATGGATTTGGAACTGGACTTTGATAAGCGATCCAGGGCTGGGCGTGACTGTTTGTGCTGCATGCAATGCAAACCTGAAGATCAAGAGGCTATTAAGGCAGAAGCAGGCAAGCCGTTTTTAGTATTTCTCTGTGTGGCAAATGAGCACAGGAGGAAGATGTTTAAGCAGAAGCTGCTTTTCTCTGATGGCAGGGTTGCTGCTTCACGCTAGCAGATAAAACCTTTGAACGATTGTTTGCACATCTAGTTTTGAAAGATAAAGGCTGCATTTCAGCTGGCTGAAATATTTACAAGCTGAAGTGATGTGGTCAGAAGCAAGCACCACTAAATTCAGTGGCGCCCCCTCCCTCAACAGTATGTGCAGGACTGCAGGGACAACACATGTCTGATCAGGGATGGGGACCCCCCCCCCCAATCTCCCCAGTCAAATTCCCCAAAGGCTGGCCACTAGATCACCTCTGCTACTCACTATTCTATTACCACCAGATGACCCTGATCAAAAGGCAATTATGCTATGTAAAGCTGGGGTTTTTTTTGGGGGGGGGAGGTATGTATTATATAGCTACATAGCGGATCAACATATCTGCCTTCATATTTTGGATTCCAGCTATGAAGGCTGTCAAAATGCGCTTCTGCACTTAGAAAATGTGCCACTAGACCCCTGTAAGGAGGGCATCTTCAGCCCCCCAACCATTCTGCACCCCTCAGTTGCTGCTTTAAAAAACAACAACACCCTGTTTTTTCTACATCTTTTTTCACCTCTCTAGATAAAACAGTTGCCTTGAACCAGTTTTGTTCCTGATTAGCCTTAACACAACAAGCCTGTTTACCATCCCAGATGCTAATCAGCTGTTGAGGAGAGCTAATGATCCAAGGACAGACAGGGCAGGACAAGGCTGGCTCTCGGTTTCTGAACAAGAGATACCAGGCCCACACCAGCCCAGAACGCAGTAGATCCCTTTAGTAACCCAGCCTGCAGCCCTGTGTATCCACGTCACTCTTGTGACTATGTGATCTTTAAGTCTGATTATATCCAAAGCAGTCAGGCGTGTTTGTCCTGCTGCATGTCACGAAAGTGGCCACACAGCCTAAGGGAATCGCTGTCTTCAGGCACCCTCAGCTGACAGGGACAGCGGGAGCCCATGCCGCTGAGACTGGCTCCCTACAGTTAGCTGCAAGGCAGCTTCACGACTACGCTGGGCCATTTCAGCGTTCCCAGAAAAGTCACTGCCATTGAAAAAAAGGGAGCAGGCAGCTTTCCAGGTCCCGTGTTTCTTTTTAGACATGATATAACTGTAGGGGTTTCAAAGGCCACTTGGCCCAGTGCCCCTTCTAAGGCATGGTCAACCTCCTGAAAGAACAAGTTGCAGGAGGGTACAGGTCAAGTGGAATATCAGAGACAGAAGAACGGTTCTCCAGGGCCCCCTCCCCATTTCTGTCCAAGAGTCGCCAGAACCCTCTTTTCTGCCTTCTCCACTAGTGAGCTTTGGCCTCCCACTTCTATGTGCTAAAAGAAGCCTTCTCAGTGGCTTTGTTTACACACTCTTCAGTTCAACATCTCGAGAGGATGTGCTTGTGTCATCCCCCAAGGTGCAATCCATGGTTCCTCTGCTTATTTACATGTCAACCTGGCTTAGCTAGTCATCAGTATGAGGTGATTTTCCCACATGCCTCCTGCTGGTGTTCGTGACACTTTGCTAATCTGATTTTCTCAAAAGCCCCAGAACCTGAAGCAATTGCCACACTCAGCCACAAATCAATTCTGGCTCCGTCCTTCCCAGGCAGAGAGACTTTAATCCATCCAACACCAATGCAGTGTAAAAGCAGCCTGATCCCCCCAAAGCTGACAGGCCGACTGAGTTGTGGCTTACACAAAAACAAAACAAAACAGGGGCACAACATTAAAGGAATGCTGTTGCTCTCCACTTGCACCGAGATCCCTGTAACAAATTAATATTAGGAATAGACAAGAGAGGCAGCCTGGCTGAAAGTGACAGAAATAATAACTGAGTCTGACCCCTTTCAAACAGGAACACTCTTCAGGAATATTTCACAAGAACTTCCAAGAGCAGCATTAGTCACAGACTCTATATGGGGCTGCAGCGTCAAATTTATCTATTTATTTAAAATATTGATAGACCACCTAATGACAACAATACCAAGACAATGTACAGTGAAACAATTCAATACAAGATATTTCAACGTGCTATTAAAAACAAGCCAATACATCACAATTGCAGTAGCCAAGAGGCCAGGGAGCGTTCAAGTAGACTGAATTTGATTGATTGATTGATTGATTAACCATCAACAGGAGCTCATCCCAGTGTGGCATTTCCCCCTTCTCCCATCCATGTTGAGGAAGGCTGCAAACCTGTGCCAAGGTGTTGTGTGTTGCACATTTTGGCCATTTCTCCACTCTACCTCACTGGCTGGGGCAGGAAAGCGACACAGGCCATGTTACATGGCTGTTACAGGGAGACGGAGATCTTGGCAAGAAGCTGCCTGGTTCCATCTCTTGTCAGCTTGGCAGCAGGTAGGCTTAGTTCAGGGACAAGAGCATGGTCAATTCCCGGCATCTCAAGGTAGGGCTGAGACAGCTCCCTGCCAGAAACCCTGGAGCCCCACTAGGAGTCAGCTTGGACAATAGATGGCCCAGTGGTCTGACACAGCACCTTCCTATATTCATGAGCTGAGCTTTCTCTTCTCTTGCCTGAGGGCTCTCTAGTGAGGTCACAACTGGCACGAGATGTGAACAAGGGAATGTATTTCTCAACTCACCCTTGAGCTACTTTTATTATTAGCATTATTATTTATTAATTTTGTATTCTGCCCTTCACCCATAGCTTTCAGGGCAGTTCACAGCATAAAACTACAATATAAAAACACAAAAGACATAATAAAAACAAGAACAAAACCAACCAATAACCCCCACCTTCCTCCACACATCTAAAAGACTGCAAATCAGCCAAAGGCCTGGTTGAAGAGGAATGTTTTCACCATGCAAACCTCCCTAGGGAGACTATTCTACAAATGGGGAGCCACTGCAGAAAAGGCCCGTTCTCATGTTGCCACCCTCGGGGCCTCTTGTGGAGGAGGCACAGGAAGAAGGGCTTCAGGTGACCGCCAGGTCCAGGTAGGTAGGCATTGCACATTCAGGCATTGCACATTTTCTTCAAGAAATTTCAGCAACTAATATATGTCCAACACCATGAGAACTGCTGGCAGATACAAGACCAGGAATACAGCTTTTAGTTTTTGAAGCCTCTAGTCAAGCTTTTAAAATGGTCCTCAATGAATAAGGGAGTGGCTAAATGGGAAGTAGTTTGAGAGCAATAATGAGTTCCTGGCAAAAATAAATTGTGGCCCTCTTCCAGAAACATTAATGGTCAGCTATAGGGATCAAGCTGCAGGAAAAGGCACAGGAAGAAACAGAGTATGTGGCCACAGAGTATGTGGCCAGGCACAAACACAAGGATGAAGTGCTGCATTTTAGAAAACATCAATCATCTGCAGATTTAAATCAAATCAAATTAAATCACGATTTAAATCACAATTTAAATTGCTAGTCAGTAAGACTTGATTTAAATAATTTTTTTTTACAGAAAGACTCATTCTTACTGGTATAATCTTAATATACAACCAGATGAAGGTTTCATTTTTGGAATAATAAAATTTCAGGAATAATAAATTTTCAAAGTAGTTTTTACAGTTACAGTATATAAAAAATAACAGATTTGGTTATACTGTTAGAAATACACAGACAGGTAATTATGAAATTATTGTGAGGTTTAAAAAGTTAACTGTTTCTGCTGTACTTTATTGGAAAGAGAAAAATAATCATTTCCTTAATAACAATTTAATCAATTTATTTAACTAAAACAATAACATTATAGCATATGCATTCATGTTTGTTAACTGATGTGGTTAAACGGGTTTTTAAAAAAAACTTATACTGAGTTTTAGCTCACATGAAAAACTTAAAACAAATCCTTATTTCCTGATGAATAGCCTTTGGACTATAATGTAACTTAAATAGAAAACTATCTTTTGAAAGATTTTTCCTCCAAAAGCATTTTATTGTAAAAATCCAATATAAATTTTAAAAATGTGATTTTTTAATATATATATTTTAAAATCATTGATTTTTATCCACCCTGCTGTGAACACTACCAAGCACTTCATAAAATGTACAGACCCTTTGCTGCTTTGTGAATGGCCCATTGTCAGGACTGCTCTCTACACATACGTAAAATTTCTACCTCCCTTCCTTATCAAATTAACAGCTAAAGAACAGAAATGCTTGTACAGTATACTTATGGCGTGCCAAGTTACTTTTATCTCTCCGTGTTTTATTTCCTTAAAACGTGTTGCAATTGAGTAGCTTAAGCGCAACCACTGACTCTCCTACACATGTATTATATTTAGCAACTTATGGGAGTAGCATCTCCATTGACTAAAACGCATTCCAGGAAGAAGTGCTCTCCACAAGCCATACCTTCCCTAATAACCTCATAGGAATTTTTGTTACTGACGTTAGTGCTGTGGAAAGATGCTGCCACTTAATTCAGCAGCCACTGGATCCCAGCTTTGCCTGCCCCATTTAATTTGAACTGAAACTAAATCACCCTGCTTTATACAACAGCGGGATTCAGGTATTGCCTCAACTAATAAACTAGTTTTGCCAGAGCAATACTTTATTATATTCAAACCATCCTTCACTGGTTAAGATCCTAGGCACTTTACCTTTAAAAAAACAAACCCAAAACCTGTGCGAAGAGATGCGTTTTAGGATGCTATTGAGAACTCAATAAGGAGAACCTCCAAGAGGACATTCCACAGGCAGGTGACCACAGTGAGATTTCCCAGCTGGCAAGATCCACAGCTGTGCTCCATCTGTGCCATTTCCCCCATCCATCCACATTTCATCATTAGTTGGGGGGGTGGGGCTAGGAAGAACCCCTCTGAGGGCCTGATTTGGACCAGTTGCTAACCCCTGGCAGAAACAGAGTTGGACAAACTGTGACTAGGCTTGGTTGCCAGCAATTATTTTTGGTGCCTGCTGTGCTATGTCTTGCTGCTGCCTTCTCAGGTGTGTCTGGTATTCTCAATGAGCATGGCCTAAAGTTCCAGCCTTTCTCAACCTGTGGGTCCCCAGATGTTGCTGAACTACAACTCCCATCACGCCTAGCTAGCAAGGCCAGAGCTCAGGGATGATGGGAGTTGTAGTCCAACAACATCTGGGGACCCACAGGTTGAGAAAGGCTGGAATGAAAATAAAAGTGGTGCCTCTAAACAGCGATAGGTTGTCTTTCCCACACCATTTGTTATCAACGGCAAGCATTCCCCATTCCCATTAGAAAGTATGAATTTCTGCTCAGTTTTCCTCTTAAGCTTCCAAGGCGGGGTGTCCTGTGAGCTCCCTTTAACCACCTGCTAGTATTAGTGGAAAAGAGGTCATGTTTATACCCAAGCACATGCAGAGTGCCATTCTCTTGGCATTTGGTAACTACAACACAAGGAATCCCAGATGCCTGTTATTATTCTGTAGGGAAGACAAGAGCACTGCTCTAACAGCAGAAAATTGGAGAGGCAGCCCCGTGAAAGGACAAAGTGGAAAGATAATCACAATCAGTATAAAATTAAGTGTGAACTCCCCGCCCCCCAGTCCCCACACTGCTACCATGCAGACTTCCTTGAGTACCAGTCCCACCTCCTAGGACTTGCTTCCAAGTAGCAATGCGTAAGGTCAGGCTGTGGGAGGGGAAGGAATGGAAATGAGGCAAGAGAGGAGAAGCACAAAATATGGGAAAGGAAGCAAGAGAGGTGTAAGACAGCCAGAAACTAAACTGGGAGAAAAAGAGGAGGAATGTGTTACTTCAGAGTCAATGTGCAACAGGAAAAGTCTTGAGGGCTTACCTAATACAAGGGGATGTCAGAGATAGGAGCAACCGTCGCTGCTGCGATCTATGTGTTCAGGGAGGCAGGGAAGAGACTTGCTGCTACCCAGTCATGGGAGAACTAAAATCCTAGATTTGTCTAATGTTTTCTATAGGCGTTTCCTCTCTCTATGGTGTGGGGGAGAGAAAGGAGTTGAAAAGAATGAGAACTTGGGCAATGGAGACATGGAGCTGAAGAGGTCGCCTGAAAACAAGCCCCCCACCCCCAAGGAAAATGGGGGTCAGAGGAGAGAGAGGAAATTGACCTGTTCAGGCCTGTAAGAGTTTAAACAGAATATTCTGGAGGGAGGGAGGGATTTGAGTTGGGTGTGTCATAAGTTAAGGACTCCCCTGCTGACACTATGGACAGCTGCGATTCCAAAATGACTCCCAGGGACACAGTTACCCCATTCAGAACCAGAGAATCTCCCACACCTGCCTGCCCTGTCCTCCAGAAACTGTACTTCTGTCTTGTCGGGATTCAACCTCAATCTGTTGACCACCATCCACCCCCCAAAAAAGTATCCAGACACCCACATTTGATGCCTTCCTGGTTCTGATTTAAATGATAGGAAGAGCTCGGTATCATCTGCATATTGGTGAAAACCCAGCCTCCCTGATGATCTCTCCTAGAGGTTTCATATAGATGTTAAAAAGCATCTATATGAAGAGGTAGAGGATGAAGCCCATAGGCACCCCACAATTGAGCACCCAGGGGTCTAAGCACTCATCCCCCACCACTACTTTTGGGGCACGACGCAGGAGGAACGAGCGGAACCACTGTATAACAGTGCCCCCAACTCCCAGCTCTCCTAGACAGTCCAGAAGAATACCATCGTTGACGGTATCGAAAGTCACCGAGAGATTCAGCAGAACCAGGAAATAGCTTTCACCTCTATCCCTATCCCACCGGAGATCAGCCTGGTGTCCACCAGATGTTCTGGAGTACCACTCCCACCAGTCCCAGGCAGCATGGTCAGTGGTAAGCAACGATGGGAGCGGAAGCCCAAAATGTCCTCAGTTACCTTGCTGGGGAAGCACTGGGGCTAGCTCTGGATGGCCACCTGTCTGCAGGCCTTTGACCACTGTGCAACCCTAATCCCCCTGTGGCATCCATTACACATCAACAGCTGTGAGGAAAAGTCAACTTGGTTGGGAAGCCAACGTCACAAAGGCTCTAAGGAGAAAAGAGTCTAACCCAGAGCTAAGGGGAAACCACAACACAGGACTTCTTCAATTCACTGCCATTTATTACATGCCTAGACCAGGGATGGGAACCTTCAGTGCATAGCTTAAGCATGGCTACTAGCCCGCCGGACCCACACCAGGCCATGCCCCTCACCAGACCTGCTGAGTGCTTTTGCAGGGCTAAAACAGGCCATTGCACTGTGATACTGCCTGCTTGCTTGCCTGGACAGAGAGGCAGATATCAATACCCAGTGTAGCCTACTGTACAACAGTAAGAGCAGCATCCATTGCTGAAGTCGCTTTCACATTTGATCTTCCCTAGCATCAGGAGGTCCCTGGAAGGTTATCCATGAAGGAATGTAGCCAACAACAGTTCCCAGTTGATGTCTGAATTTAGAAACTATGGTTTCTTTAAACTCTGATTAGTAAGAATAATCCAGGATCTGAAACCTCAGCCTAGGCTTGGTTGAAACCACTCTTCACAACTAGGCCTGGGTGATGTATCAGTACTGTTCATTGGTACGAGGGGCAGACCGCAATGCCAGTTTCACCCAGCAGTACATTGCAAGTGCTGCCATTGCTACTGTCCTTCTGCCACCAGTGCCCAGCACACCAAAGCAGAAACAAGCTGCAGCCGGGTGCTGGAGGCAGAGGGACTCAAGAGCAATGGCGATTTCACTTGCAATATACCACCGGGTGAAACTGACACCTCACTCTGGCCCTCCTACCAGCGAGGGAAGAACAAGCTACATCGGCCGGGCAGGGCAGGCAGATCATTTAAATTCCTCTGTTGAGGGGTGCACAGCTGCCTGCCCCTCAACGGAGAAGTCTAACAGAGCCCCTCACCTCCAGCTCAAGCAAAGCAGAGATGGGGGGGTTCAGTTAGACTTTCCCCCCATCTGTGCCAAGGCAGTGGCGGCTGAGGCAAGCCCACATGCGCTTGTCTCATCCGCCACCACCTTGGCATGGGAGTGTGTTGGGCGGGCTACCTCTTTCTCTCTGCCTGCCCCGCCAAGCAAAGGTGGAGGCATCCTTGCAAACAGAGCCTGACAGACTCTGCGCTTGGCTACCACAGCCTGGCTGGCTCCCTCTGACCCCAACATCCTGCGGGAGGAAGAAGCTGTGCTGACCTCAGCTCATGGCCAATACAGCTTGTTCCACTTTCCGTTTCAACACTGCAGTGTATTACTGCCAGATCACGATGTTGGGCTGGTGATACCTCGCAATGTTGAAAAGCTGACGTTGCCCAGCCCTATTCCCCACATTACCAGGTAATACCCCCAGCACTGCTGGACTAGACGGGCTGTGCCTCTGGACGGGTTCCACAAGGCCTATGGAATTCAGGTTACAGTAAGCAAGTTCTAAGTCATTTGTTCAAGCCCATTAGAGTCAGGAGTCACAAATAACATTAGTGTTAAATATTATGTTAAATGGGTGGCAGCATCATTCAATCCCTGCACACACATTAATATGTGAAGTCTTATGCCATGAAGACAGAACTATATCCATCATGAACACTCAGCCATTTTCCTTTTTCAAGTCAGCCAAGATTCTTTTTCTTCTTACAGTATTTCCCAAGGCTGAACTTTCCAAACTCAAGTATCCTTTGCACTTTTCCAGGAAGCATTTCATATTGCCTCCACGCTGGGCCTTAATCTTTAGTTTTGTGCACAACAGGAAACTTCTTAGTCATTCAGAATTCTCCTGAAAATAAGATGACCTCACTTGCTTACAGTGGTAATCTGATCAGACTTGGTTCTGTGTCATTTCAGCAGCTATCAACCTGCAGATAAGCATATTGCTAAGGAGATTCTGAAGAGTAAGCTGAAAGAGGACCCAAATAAAACTACGGAACAACCAAACCTTCTTCAGGCAGTTCAAAGGAAACATGGGCTGGGGCAGCCGTGCTAGGAGACCTTCCCACATTCAACAGGAAGGTTTGCAAAGGGGGATTCTAAATGAATTCAGTCTTCATGTACTGGCAAACCCCCTGCCTTATCAGCGCAACAGTCTAAACACACCTAGCAGCCTCCCCCAGACCCTCCTATTCCAGGTGGGGTGGGAGGGGACTTTGAAGGCAGGTCTAGCACACTCCCTACCTCAATGCCCCTACACACTCCCCACCCCCACACGATGGTTGAATGCCCAGCTAGGGCTCTAGCCCTACTGCACTTATATTGTTTTCATACACTTTTGCTCCAATCCTGAAAGTCACCAGGGCACATTTTGGTGCCCAAGGTGGAAAAAACACCACATATCTCAATTGCACCAGCAGCCACTGCATAAATACCAAGTGAACACCTTTCTATTTGTCATGGGATAGTAGGTCTGCTTTATTTTGCTCCTGCTGTTTTATACTGTTCTATTTTATATATTGCTGAATTTACTATTTTTAGCCATGGCCTTATTTCATATTCCATGTGGTTTTAAATGTGTTATTTAACTGCTGTAATTTGATTGCTTTATCTTACTGTGAACCAGACAGAAAGCGAAATGGCTAAAAAGCAAGACAGAAAGCGAAACGGCAATAAATGTTGGAAATAAGTAATGTCTCCTGCACAAACTTTTTGAAATGAACTGGAGAAACTGGAAGGAAGGGAAGAGGAGGCACTCTGCCCCTTCAGAAGGGGAAGGTTCACAGTGTGACAACTGAGGCATGTGATAATGCAAACCAGCAATGTGCATCTCGACTCAATTACAGTGGAAAAGTTTCAGTGCAGCTGCCTACAAAAACCTTTAACTGGGTTAAGAGAGGCAGGACTGGAGCACTCATAGATTACTCACACAATTACTGCAAATCATGGAAGCACCTAAAACACTCTAACAAGTGAGCATCTTCCACATGGCCCATGACATATGCAGGGTATTGTTTTCCTTTGCGTACAGAGGTGAAAATTCAGGAAGTGAAACTTTACTCAGGAGTTAATGGGAAAGGTGTCAGACGATCTTGATCAATCAGAAACTGTATGTGACGTCAAAGCTAATGTGAAACTGCCTAATGCGAGCCAGCGTGCAGCTGTGGCGAGAGTGCTAGCCTGGGGCCTGGGAGACCAGGCTCTGAATCCTCACTGGGTGACCACCTCTCAGGCTAACCTCCCTCAGAGGGTTGATGCAAGGATAAAATGGGGTGAGGGAGAACTAGGCACTTCAGCTCATCAGAAGAAAGGTGGGATATAAACAAAATAAAATAAATTTCAAGAGCATGTGGGGAGGAAAAAATAAACAAACTACAGCCCAATACCGGAAAAGGAATGGAGACAGAGGAGCAAATGCAAAATGGCCTTTAAATACAAGAACCTGCCTCTATTCTATGGGCTACATGTTTGCAGCAAGCTTGATACTTTCAGACAGGTCATATAATCATGATAATGAATCGGGATCAGCATGGACTTTCCCACAGTAGATTCTAAGACATTCTTGAAATGTTAATTTATTGCTACAAAAAAACTGTCCTACTACTGCCAAGTTAGCAAGACATCCATTAATATGCTGCAGTCAGAGGTCTAGTTTGAATAAAACTGTATGCATTTTTTCCAACCCAGAGACCTCAGGGCAACATATAGGTTTCCAAGTCCTCCTCCTCCTCTCAGCCCAAACTCCCATACAGGGGGGTCATGAGGGCTTGACCAGGGAGCTTCATAGCAGAGCTAGAATGTGGGGGTCTATTTTCTCTCCACCCGTCCCTTGAAAAAGCCCAGCTTAAGGCGAGCACTGGCTAAGACCTGCATTTCTGGGACCCACCTGCCAGCCTGCTTTGAATCACCTCGCCCCCCTTTGCCCCCGTCTCCCAAGCCCCTAAGGAAGCAAGGCGGGGGCGGGCTGGGATCGCCCGGCTGAGCCAAGAGGAGACGCACCTGCCGGGAAGCGGGGGCGAGAGGCCAGAAGCGAGCGCGTCTGGGGGCGCCCGGCGTCCGCCTCCCCGTCGCGGGCCTGCGCCAAGGCGCGCCACCCCAAACCCGCCCACCTTCCCGAAGAGGCGCCCCGGAGCAGGGCTCGCTCGGCGCCCGCCAGCCCCGTCCAACCCTCGGCTTGGCGGAGCGCGGCTGCCCTCGAAGAGGCTCCGCCGCCGCCAGCAGCGCCCGCCCGCCCGCCCGCCCGGGGAGCCCGAGGGACAGGGACGCCGAGGGTCTCCAAGAGCCGCGCCCCGAGCAGAGCAGCCAGCCAGCCGCGCCCGTGGCCGGGCCCCCCGACGCCGCCATACCTGCCCCGCGCAAAGGCTCGTCCGCCGCCGCCGCCTCCGGGTGCTGCTGCCTCTGCTGCCGCTGCTGCTGCTGCTGCTGCTTCGCTCGACGGCAAGTGGACGCGCGATGGACAGCAGCGCCTCTAGAGCCGCAGAGCCTGTGCGCGCCGCCGCGAAGTCACCCGACCGCCCAGGAGGGCGGGGGCTGCTGCTGCGTCACGCCAGGCGCGCGGCCGCCGCCGCGAGCACGCGCAGGAGAGCAACCCTGGTCGCTCTGGTCCTCGCTTTCGGAAGAAAAAGTTGCTCGCTCGCGCCGCGCCAGATTTGCCAATACATTACAAAGAAATACATCGGAAAGCAAAAGGAAGTGACTTCGAACAGTGCTTGATTTATGACTCAGAGCACAACAACCTTAGAACATGATCATGGGACAGCCAGAAAGCAGAAAACAACGCAGCTACATAAGAACATGAATCATTCCCAAAATATAACTGTATTCGAGCCTCTTAGGTATTATACAAACTCAGTGAAGCTTGTGAACTCCCTTTTGCGGGGTGATCTCATTTATATTAGGTTTAATTCGAGGCAAGCAAATTCATCTTCTCACCCATATGCTGCAGATAAAAATATTTTTATACTATACTATACTATACTATACTGAAATGTTTAGCTGTTTCTTGGATTGTCCTTGAACCTTCCCACTTGCCATCCTCTCCTGCCACACCCCTTGAGAACTACTGCATTATTGAGTTTGAAGGGATCCGAAGGGTCATCTAGTCCAACTCCCTGCAATGCAGACCCCCCCCAAGTGCCCCAATTTTCCAGGGACAGTCCCAGAATTCCAGAAGCCATCCTGCTTTCTGATTTGATTCCTAGTTTTCCTTTTTCCTCACCTCCATGTCTTGGAGAACAATTAAAAGGGGTGTGGGTGCAAAAAGAGAGTCTGTTTAACCTGAAAATAAAATACCTGCACCAAATGAAGGAAACGGTCACCCTGGCATAGGACGTCCTTCCTATAATTTTGAAAGGAAAAGCTCACCAGTCTGTTTTAAATTCTTTAATTGCAATGCTTCAGCAGCCAGCCATTTCCTAAGAAACACAGGGAGTGTCGATTCCTTTGTTGTAAATGAAGTCTTACACTGCAATCCTGAGCATTTTTTTCTCAGAACTAAGTCCAACTGAGTTCAATAAGATTTACTCTCGGTTACTGATCCTTCTCACAGTTTCCATTAATTATCATCATCATCATCATCATCATCACCACCACATCCTGCCTTTTTCCCTGACAGTGACTCAAGTTAGCTTACAGCTAAACTCTTATTTCATTCCATTTATCTGTTGAGGGTGTAATACATGATCCCTTTCCTTGAACATTTTTCCCTTACAACAACCCTGTGAGGTAGGTGAGGTAGGTGAGGCTGAGAGGTTGTCATTGGCTCAAGGTGACCAGTGTTGATGTGTATATGACATCTATGTGTGCAGTGAGATCAAACGCAGAAGAAGCTCCCTGATGGAGAATAGGGTGTCCCTATTTTCATCAGAGAAATGTTGGAGGGTAGGGCAATGTAGGAATCAAATCAGCCCAGGTTCACGGAGCATGCCACACTTGGTTCTTGGCATGCAGTGGGGTCCTGGTGGCACCAGGTCCAGGTTGTGGGCTGACAACATGCTTTGGGGACCCTACTCAGTAGAGCATGAGGCTCTGAATCTCAGGGCTCTGTGTGTGTGTGTGTGTGTGTGTGTGTGCACGCAAAAGTGGGCGGATGTACTGCACAAAGTGTTGTGTAGGAAGATAGGATTTCTGCAACTTTGAAAAGTGAACAAGCCTTGTCCTCTTCTACATCCTGCCACCCAAGATGGAGAGCTCCCAATCTCCCTGTCCTCAGTTAGCCCTGTAAAGCAGGGGGGGACTGGACCCCATGGCACTGCCCAGCGGGAATGGGCAGAGGTGCTGCCTCTGCCTGCTTACTTTCTGGATGGCACAGCAGGGAGGACCCCACTCCACCAGCACTTGGGAGGGGGGTTGCAGGCATGCTAGTGACCAGAGCTGTCACCTCCTCCTCTCCTTCCCCTGACCTGTGTTGCAGATATTAATATTGCGCAGTTTGAAGTGACTGGAAGCATAGGAACTGACTCCTTTTGGAATACCGGTAAATCATTGTCCAGACCCATGAAAATATTATTCAAACTTTTACTGATAGAACTCTTTAAAATAAAACAGAATACATCAAATGATACGTCTAAAATATCCATACAATATCTTGTGCTGTCCAGCATCAGGCTCAGCATCTTACAAAACACGAAATAATCCAAACAGACCTATAAGCAAAGGTCTCTCTCCACAGACTGTTTGCTCTCCCTTAAGGATAGCTTCTTTTACATCTTCACTCCACTGAGTTTGGGAGACAAAGACTCAAAGGCAACTCCCTTCAAAATGGAGATTTTGCAACCCAATACCTCTCGCATGATCTAAGGTTACAACACTCGGAGAACAACAATCAGTTAGTTAATCATTAACTTAGCAAGAGCTTCAAGTGCCCCATGGAAAAAACCCATGTTAAACCTCTGCAATCTACCTTTAGCCGTTGTTCATTTCTGTGTCAGTTAAAACCATTACACTTAACACCCTGCCACTCTGGGTAGGGATTGGGTGAGTCAAAGAGAGGTGGCAGATGTGCAAAGGCTTCGGCTCACTTGCCCAGAGAGCTAAGGTGAGGGAGCAAGAGACTCCCAGTGGCAGGGAGGGAGGGGCAAGTGCTTCGCACAGGCTGCCCTGCCTATCAGCCTGAAGCAGAGGACTAGGGGAGTGACTAGAGGGGACCAGCGATTTACGGGGTGTGGCGCAACTCACAAGGCAGGAGCCAGTTGAGGAGGGGGAGGTAGGGCAGTCCAAGGCAGAGAAAGGTGTGCAGGGGTGGAGTGGTGGGAGGCACCAGCTGGGGAACCCCCAAGGGAAGAAGACTCAGAGCCAGAGGAGTGGTCAGAGAGAGAAGACTGGGGGGAGGAGGTGACGGAAGCTGAAGATGTAACAAGGCTTAGTGACCAGGAACAATCTGCGGCAGAGAGCAGTTTAGGGTCAGAGGCTGAGGCAGAGGCTGGAGAGGAGGGGGGCCAAGAGGCAGAAATGAGTCTGGCTGGTGAGGAAGCCAGGGGATCTCCCACTCCTGCTGTGACCAGCTGCCCTCCCCACTGGTCTCCCAGAACCTGTAGAGGAATGAAGAGGGCAGAGCAGAGACAGACAAGGCGCCAGGAATCTCAGACTGCGTGGGAAGGATCCAGGGGAAGGAGAAGACAGGGAGCTGTGGAAAGGCGGGGGACCTTCAGTCTCACAGCTGCCTCATTGGGGCAAGATCTATTGGGAAGAGTTGCTGTGCTCACTAGGCCTGAGCTGGTTTGTTCCTTTGAATAAAGAGTAACTTCACTGACACCTTTTGAGTTATTCCTGCCCTGCTCCCGACTCCTGCCCTGCAGCAGGGTGTGGCGGAGGAAGAAAAGATGGGTCAGATGAAGGATGGGTCAGTAAATTCCCCCTCTTCCCCCACACCACTGTCTCTTAGAACCAGGAGGGGCTTGGAAAGGGAAGAGCAGAGGCAATTTTTGTGCAGCAGGAGTCTCAGGTTCTGGACATGCAACCTGTCAGAGAAGGGTATATAAGCTGGAAGAGGTTGCTGCAATTCCTTCATAGGGCCCAGACCTGGACAGCTGCAGAGGCTCAAAGTGTGTGTGTGAGCACCGCGGAAACTGTTGTAAGTGTTTCTCTTCCCGATAATGAGTTAACTATCAGGCGGGTGCTTCTTCCTTTTTTTTAAATATAATTTTTATTAATTTTCCAATAAAATGCTGTTTTTGTTCCAAGCAATTCCAATAATTAAAGGAGTTGCAATATTTAAAGAGTGGCAAAAAGCGATTTCAAGATATATCTGGCAGGGCAAAAAGCCGAGAATAAAATTTAAGTTGTTAACAGATTTAAAAGAAAGGGGAGGCTTCACCCTGCCAGATATGAGATTATATTATGAAGCATCGTGCATATGTTGGTTGAAAGAATGGATGAAATTAGAAAATACAGATTTGTTAGATGTGGAAGGTTATGATAATAGATTCGGTTGGCACGCATATTTATGGTAGGAAAAAAACAAGTGCATAAAGGTTTCGAAAATCATATTATTAGAGGATCTCTGATTGAGGTATGGGGTAGGTACAAAAACCTACTTGAATCAAAAATACCACACTGGTTATCACCATTAAAGGTGATGAGTGTTAAAAAGATCAATATGACTGGGAGGTGGATAACATATGGGAGTTTAATTGAGAAAGAGGGAAGTAAGTGGAAAATGATATGAAGAAGTGAAAGAATATGTAAACGATTGGCTGCATTACTTTCAGATTAATGAAATGTTTAGAAAAGAGGTTGCAGAAAGAGGCTATTTTGAAAAAGAATCTAGGTTTCAACGAGAAGTATTGAATAATGAAGTTAAAAATTTATCTATGATGTATAAATTATTATTGAAATGGCATTTGAAGGATGAAGAGGTTAAATCAGTTATGATTCAATGGGCCAAAGACTTTGGATATAACATTCAATTTGATGATTGGATAAAATTGTGGAAGGAAGGGATGAGATTTACGACATGTACCACAATTAAAGAAAATGTTATGAAAATGATATATTGATGGTATATAACACCAGTTAAATTAAGTAAGATGTATAAGGTGAGTAATAAATGTTGGAAATGTAAGGAGAAAGAAGGGACATTTTATCATATGTGGTGGGAATGTAAAAAAATGAAGTGCTTCTGGGAAATGATATATAATGAGATAAAGAAAATACTGAAATATACATTTGTTAAAAAATCAGAAGCATTTCTATTAGGAATATTAGGTGGTGAAATAAAAAGGAACGATCAGAAAGTATTCCTCTATTCAGTAACAGCAGCCAGAACTCTTTGGCCCAGAAATGGAAACAAGAAGAAATGCCTACGATTGAAGAATGGAGATCGAAATTAATGGATTACGCGGAACCGGACAGATTGACAGGGAGGATTCGCAACCGACGAGACCAAAGATTCACTGAGGACTGGAGTAAATTTACAGAATATATTAAAAATATTTGTGATAATGATATAACGTTTGTAAGTTTTCAAGAAGCTCTGTAAGAAGATTTGGTAGAAATATTGTTTAAACAACATGGTAAGATAAGATATATATATATAGTGCAATATAAATTAAGAAATGTGAAGATTTGTGATAATTACGGAAAATTATCAGACATGTTGATGGAAGTCTAAAAGAAAAAAAAGATGTGTGATGAGTTTTTGATGTTTAATAATGTTGTAAATTTGTTTTTATCGGGTGCTTCTTCCTTACGGTGACAACAGCAAAACAAAGTCTGGATCATCCTGAATCTTGAAGTCTGGCTGTGTTTTCAGTTCTTGTATTGTTGCGGAATGTTTGGATTTGGTAGAGTAAATGGGAGCTGAATCTTATTTCTCCCCCATCATTGCACTGTTGATGTGTTTATTTCTGCAGCGCAGATGGTTCGAGTAGCAAGCAAGTTCCCTCTAATCAAAGAGTGTTACAAAGAAGCTGCCAAAACATGAAAAAGGTGCTGGAGGCAGCGTTTGGATGGGTATTTGGGGCTCAGATTACAGAATCTAAAGATTCTTTGGGACTACAACACTTGAGACGCTGTTTGAAAACCCGTTCCTATCTTGGGTGTTGCAAACTTCTGCAAGCCACACCTGCAGAAATTTCCTCTTCTGGATAACTATTGAAGGTGCAGGATCTTGGCCCTCTTTTGCATCTGGTCACACAGCCAACGGCAGCAGGCAAATTCATAACTCCAAGACCATTGGGATATCTCAGTAGCCTCACCTCCATCTTGGCTGGATTCAAATTTAGCTTGTGTGCCCACTTCCAGGCACTACTTTTTGCAAAACAGGTAGAAATCAGCGCTTGAGGTCTTTCCCCAACATTCATTCATTCATTTATGTTTAAAATTATGCTATATCATAAAAAATATCAAAGCTGTTTACAATAATTTATATACATAATAAAAACACACTACAAATTTAAAATGAGAGACCACCAATGAACTATTATGGAAAGATGCATTCTTAATTTCCTGCATGGAGCTGGCAGAATAAAAAAAGTTTTCAGCAGGTGTTTAAAAGTTCAGACAGAAGGCACCTGCTAAATCTCTATTGGCACAGCATTGCACAAGACTGGGGTGATGATACAAAAGGCTCTATTTCGTGTTGATGTCAAATGAGCCTCACCAATTCAGAGGACAACCAGCAACACTCCTGCAGATGATCTCAGTGACTGAGCTGGGATATGAGAGTTTAGATCAGCCTTTCTCCGCCTTAGGTCCCTAGATGTTGATGGATTACAACTCCCAGGCTTCATTATATTATATTACAACATTGTTAGGCAGGACTATGCACTCTCCCAAAGCGCTCCCATTTTTTTCTGCTTGCTTTCAGGTGGTTGTGGAGAGAGGAAATGGCCACAAGGTGGCAGTGCCCTCTCTAGTTCTACCTGCAAAGAAAAGAGAAGGCTGTACCACGGTATGTAAATCAATCGTAAATGGATGGCTTTTAAAACCAAAAGTGGAAGTTGCTTTGGGGGGAGCTCAGCCTGATTGCATTGTGCAATACAGTTTCTTAACTGGCAACAACCCTAAACTGAGTGGTAAAAAGCTGCATCTCAGTTATCAGAAGTTTGGAAAACATTGTCCTACATGCAGGCAGCAAATCTCTTGAGCAGGAATATTTTGGACACATAAGAAAGAAGATGCCATGGCAAACCTAGACAGCATCTTAAAAAGCAGAGACATCACCTTGCCAACAAAGGTCTGTATAGTGAAAGCCATGGTTTTCCCAGTAGTGATGTATGGAAGTGAGAGCTGGACCATCAAGAAGGCTGATCGCCGAAGAATTGATGCTTTTGAATTATGATGCCGGAGGAGACTCTTGAGTGTCCCATGGACTGCAAGAAGATCAAACCTCTCCATTCTTAAGGAAATCAGCCCTGA